AGGGCAGTGTGGCTGTTTTATTTTGATGGGGTCACATATGAAGAGTATGTACTTAGCCTACGCACTGAAGTATGGCTTTTTTGATGCATTTATGTTGTTGGTTTAACACAGGGGTAGTCAACCTTTTTATACCTACCGCCCACTTTTATATCTCTGTTAGTAGGAAAATTTTCTAACCGCCCACCGGTTCCACAGTAATGGTGATTTATAAAGTAGGGAAGTAACTTTACTTTATAAAATTTATAAAGCAGAGTTACAGCAAGTTTAAAGCATATAATAATAATTACTTACCAAATACTTTATGTCGGACTTTCGCTAAGTTTGGCAGAATAAATCTTTATAAAACAACTTACTGTAGTTAAATCTATCTTTTTATTTATACTTTGCATACACAGAAGCATGAAGTCTGATGAAATTACATTTAATTTAATTAAATTAATAATGAGATCCCTGAGGCTGATGCTGCAAAACTAAATACTGGATATGTTGCTCAATTTTTGTAAGGAACAAACGAAGGTCTCCTCTTTCGGAAATATTCAGGCAGTTTCTTTCTTTGGTCATAATATGATTAACAGCACTAAAGCCTGATTCCACAAGATATGAGGTAGGGAAAGGTATCAATAAACTGAATATCATTTTCCACTTATTTGGATATAAGACAGGCATTTTTTTACTTTGCCATAGGTTTTCATATCCACCACTATCGAATTTTTGTTTACTTTCTTCATCATATCTAATTTGGCAAGTTGTATCAGCAAGTTGTATCAGCCTCTTCAATATTTTGCGGTAAAAGGATTTTTCATCCAGTCATACACCTTCAGTTTCAAAATATCTTCAAATCGTTTTTCCATGTCCAATTTAAGTTCGTTGAGGTGGCTACTGAATCTGTCAATATCCTCTGGAGTTACATCATCTTTTATAGATGATAATTCAGGAAACTGATGAAATTCTCTGTTCGATAGATTATAACGAAGTAGTTCAAGTTTGTCAATAAATAATGACACAATACTTTGGCAACCTATAAGAGTTTTATTAGCTCCTTGAAGCTGCAAATTGACATCATGAAATCTCTTGAAAATATCTGCCAAATAAAAGGCATCATTCTTTACTGTTTTTAACTGTTGACACAGATTATTACTTTCAAAAAATTGTATTATTACAATTATTTGTAATAATCTTACAATATTACAATACAATTGTATTATTATTATTATTTTAAAAAAATTGTATGACACTATCATATAATGCTACAAAATGAGCCAAAGATGTACCCTTTGACAGCCACCAAACTTCTGTATGCAAAGATAATGTAATAAAATCTTCATTATTGTCCTGGCAAAGCTGTCGAAACATTCTTTCATTTTTTGCATTGGATTTGATCTTGTTTATGGCTTGAATTATTATAGTTAATGATGAATGGAGACTTGTACTTAGATGTTTTCCTGCAAGATGTTGTCTGTGCACCACACAATGAATACATAAAACATTTGGCACTTCTTCCTTCAAATAAACAACAAATCCACGATAGCGACCTACCATTGATGGTGCTCCATCAGTAGCACATACAACAATATTATTCAAAGGATATTATTCAAAGAATATTATTTTTTGTAAAGTTTGATTTCACAGTATTAAATATAGATAATCCTCTTGTATCTGTAATGAGATTTATTGTGAATAGCATTTCTTCTCGTAATGTATTGTTTTCATCAAAATAACGTACATATGCCATCAATAAAGCATTATTATCTGCAATGGTAGACTCGTCCAATTGCATGGAAAATGAAGAGTTTTGGAGAACACTTATAAGGTTTTTTTCAACATTAATTGCCATTTCTTCAATTTGTTGCTTTACTGTGCTATCGCTTAGGGGCAATGTTTTTAAAATTTCAGGTATATCCTGATGCATTACTGTTGAGATAAATTCTTTTATAGAGGGTATTATAATAATAATAACAACAACAACAATAACAACAACAACTACTACTACAGCAGCAATAGTAGTACTATTCCAACAAAAATGGATAGAACGCCACACAATTTCTTCTGCTTGGATGATCTAGGTCAGTGATTGTCAAAGTATGGTCTACTCTAAGGACTCCTGGTGGTCCCTGAGACCTTTTTATAAATTCTTGATTACTACTATGTACCCTGCCCAGAGTCACTGTTTAAGAGCGTACGTATGCTTCCACTTACTCATCCAAAAGTATCTTCATATCTATTTGCAACATGTTGTTGTTTGAAACAAAGCTCTATTGAGTCCGGGTGATGTTCAAAATCACCATGACAAGTCATTGGTCACAGTATTTAAGGAAAAAAGTATCCTATGGAAATAATCACATTACTCTATTTCACTCTGTTGTTGTGAGCATTTCTCAAACAGATCCTTTCCTTTTTCCCACCAGAATAAGTTTCCTATGATGCAATCCTCCGTTCTATGAGATTTGACAACATGAAAGACAAGTTATCAATTTTCCGATTTTTATCCCTCCAAGATAGGATTTAATTTGATTAAGAACACATGTGCTGCTGACATCTGTTTTAAAATAGCGTACATGTCTTGCACTATTCATTGATATCCATAACTATTAAATGCAATGATAATGAGGATTCTCATGTTGATTTTTTTTGGCTCCCATACATAAGCCCATGAAAGTTACTTGTCGAGGGTTAGGCAGTTTTCCAGTGTATTAGTTTCTAGTGCTTTGTGATCATTTCACTTCCTGGTTTAGCTAAGCGGTTAGTCTACCAGTTCATACCATCCAAGATTTACCTAAACGACGCTGGCTAGTAGCAGTAGTGATCCAAAAGATCAAATTCCATTAACCTTAAGCACATGCCATAGAAACATTTCTCTGTGATCTGTTTCTCCCACTTAAGAAGCTTTGCGATTGATTTGATATTACATGAACTGCTCCATAGTAGTTTAAATGCTTTCTACTATCTTTGACTGACTTTTCAAAAATCAGTTTTAAGAGTAAGAAGGTTCTTTCTTGCAGGATCAGTACAGTCCCATTTGCAAATGCTATTGTACCTCAGGATTTTATTTCATTGCATCAGTTGGCTTGCTTGGGCTTATATACCGTATGAAAGCCATTTTTGTATCAGATTGGCCTTGAAAACACCCATTTTCATTGCACAATGCCTGCTTTGCTGTCTCAGAAAGATTCCCCCTCCCCCATCAATGGACTGATAGTCCTCTAATTCAGTGTAAGGCAGCTTCCTGTGTTGGTTGACTTCATATCCTCTAATGCTGTTTCCAAGAGTCGAACTTGAATGTTTCAGTTGCTTTAGAACCTCTTGTGAACTTGGAGGTCATAAATGACAATGAAGAAGTGGAACGATACCTTTAATGCAATATAGAAAGATGGCCAAATTGACTAATTCAATTAAAGAAAAGCATATATCCAGTTTTGTTTCTACTCTGTAACTGCTTCTAGGCCAGTGATGGCAAACCTTTTAGAGACTGACTGCCCAAAAACTGGCCCCGGCCCCACTCCATCCCCTGCCCTGCCCCCTGCCTGCCCGCAGGGCCACTCACCACCTCCAGGACCCGCCACAGATCACGCAGGCAGCCCAGCAGCGCCATGGCAGCCATGCCCTCTGCCCACGCCCTGCAGCATCAACTGTGCATGATGGGGCGTGAGGGCAGAGTCTTGTCTACACTGCCTGGCTGCCATGTCCTTGGCTGCACTGCTCCGCGTGGGCCACACTTGAGGGTGACTCTTCTCCAGGGGGGCTGCTGATGAGGGGGTCGCGGGGGGAGGCAAGTCTGGGGCAACAGCACGGGTGCCCACAGAGAGGGCTCTGAGTGCCGCCTCTGGCACCCGTCCCATAGGTTTGCCACCACTGTTTCTAGACTTTGTGCTCAGGGAAGAAAAAATAAATAAAATGGGATTTCTGGTTAGATATGCTTGTTATTATAGAAATGGCTAGTATATATTAAGCATATAAAAGTAAAAAAAAATGAGGCTATGTTTTATTATTTTTATTCTACTGAACTGGAAAAAGTTGGAACTTAATGCTTTTTTTCCCTTCTTTTTTTCCCCGACCCCACACTTCTCTTTCCCCTTCTTTTCTGTTCCCCCACTACTCTATTATCTTGTTTTCGTTTGTATTTTGTGTTATGATAATTTTAATAAAATTATATATTTAAAAGGAAGAAAGACGGGAATATAGAAAAATGGTGAATAATGGCATATCATTAATAAGCCCATACTTTCATGCTATACAATTATTACATGTATATCTGAGTGAATTTTATCCATTCACCAAATGAAGCAGAAAAAAAAAACCATGTTCTGTTTTCTTGTGTAGCGAACAGGAGCCCAGTATTACATCAGCATTCGTCTTCATATGCAATATAATATGGAGGTTCAATGAACAATGGAATCTCCCATTAACAAGGTTCCCCTAATCTTTATTAGACTGCTTTGTGTGAATCAGGTTATGCTGGAATTACAGGACCTAACATTTTCAGCTATTGTTTATTGGGGTTCTGAGAGGTGTCCTACCACAACTGGGGAGTGACAGCTTGAAGAAGGCCGTCATAGGCTGTTTTTCTTTAAAGTAGAGTTACAGGTATCCCCCAAAAGAATCAGCTTTTTTGTTATTATTTTCTTAATTATGTAAGGCTTGTTTTTTGCTATTTATTGGGATACAGTGCAAAAGATCTTGTTAAGAAATATTTAGTGTTTGGGACCATCTTTCAAATTCTTATGCATGTTTTCTATGTTTTCTTTCTAGAAGGTAAAATACCTTCTTATCCACACTGAATCTTTCATTGATAACTGAGAAGAATTGAAATCCATGCTTTTGGTGCGATATTCTATTTAAAGTAACTTTGGTTGTCCAAGTGTTTGCAATATAGTTTATTTAGCAGGTAGTGGAGACAGTGTCACCGTTTTAATGTCATGATTTTACAGTTGGTACGTTTTTGAAGAGACAGTTGTTTGGTAGCAGGTGACTGTCACCTTAAATATGGCTTCCAATCTCCTCAGGTTTCAGCAGGCTCCACGGTGCAGTTTGTGAAGGAAGACTTCTCCTTGACAGCAAAGAGAGAAGAGAAACCCCTTCCTCAAGGAAATAAGCGTCTGTTAGAGTGGGCTGAAAAGGAATATGGAGCAGTAACGTCCTTCACTGAATTTAAAATATCCAGGAATGTTTACATAAAAGTGGGTGAAGGTAAGTCCGTTGAAGCTTATATGACTGTTAATAAGAAATGGGGTTTAATTAATGTTTGTCTTCAATTTTACCCGAGGGACATTCCTTGGCTCTCCTGAGATAAGAAAATCACTCCAAAAGTTGTTTCCTTTGTACCGTTGTCATTGCCACAGGGGGAAAGCAGTGTATTAAAAAGGGTCAAGTTACACAGAACGTTAGCTGGGGACATCTGGGTGAATTTTGACTTTCAAAGGGTTTCATTTGATACCCCCCAGAAGTAGCAATTGAGAGATAAGAGGTTAAAAGAAGGAGGACTGTAAAATAAGGCTTGCCACACTCTGACAATTTGTCTCTAATCCTGGTGCTTGTCAAACTAATGTTTGAATAACTGGGAGCTGATCAGAAAGGTTTTTTGACTGGAATTTAAAGTTTTACATGTTAATAATATTTTATTCATTTTTATCCCACCTTTATTTATAAATAACTCAAGGCAGTAAACATAACTTAATGTTTTTTCCTCCTCATATTTTCCCCACAACAATTATCCTGTGAGATGGATTGAGCTGAGAGTGCCTAAGGCAGGACTAGAACTCACCATCTCCTGGTTACCAGCCTGGTGCCTGAACTCCCAGACCAAACTGGCATAACACCTGTTTGTTACTGGAATGCTATATGATGCACTGATTACATCTCAAACTAATTTGCTCTTTGGCAGTGCAGGGAAATACCGAAATTTGACACAATATTTTATTGCTCAATATTTTCCTTGAAAGTAAGGAACCCAATTCATTTTGGGATGCTAACATGGATGCTCTAATTTTGTGCACTTAAACTGGAATCTAATAAATCCAGTCCCCTGCCATTTATATTACCAGTATTTTTGAATAGATCTTTTGGCTATTTACATTGCAGGCATGGGTTACAATTATAATCAGAACATCAGAAAGTAACATAAAGGGTTCTGACTGCCATCTTTTGAGATTCCAGTTTATAGCAATTGAGACGGCCAACTTTTGTGTCTGATTTTTTTAGCCTTAAGCAATCCATTTCTAGAGTATTGAAAATGTGATGTGAATGTTGGGCTTCGGTCTTAATTCTAATTGTCGTGCTATAATTTATCATATTACAGTTACTGTATTTTCATGGCAACTGAGCTCTCTAACTTTTCTGATTTGCCATTTTGTTTTCTATATTATTATGCCCTTATTTCATAAAGCATTAATTAGTTAACAGTCTTTCAAAATCTACTTCGATGAATTTAAGTGTTCCCACTTCAATGCTTGAAACTCTTTTCCCTGTTAGCATTTTGTTAGCACCCTTTAGTTTTCCGTTATCCTAGAGTTAAATCTTTTTAAAATGCCTTCCAGCTGCAGGGGAATTTTATTATTGATATATGACTTTTGGCAGGAATAATTTATTGAGGAAAGTTGATACATGATGAACATTTTCAATAAAAGGGCTTATCTTGTTAAGCCCAAAGAACTAAAGTTTACACCAATGTCGGGTCATGTTGGATAGGAATATCAAGATAACACCTAATTAATAAAAAGCATGATATTGCTTTCCCCATTTTTAAGCAAAGTTGTTGACACACATTCACACATAAATAATAAGATCCAGGACACACTTTTTCAGTTCAGATCAAAAAGTTGGCAACATCCAAAGGAGGTAAGAGTTATTTGTCAGTTGTTCTTTTCTTTTCCTGGAATCAGCCCTTTTCTTAGCAATTGTTGCTCCAGGCAACCACATATCCCAAACTGATGTTTTGCTGTTATTGTTCATTTGCTGGCAATGTTTATGTGAGTGGCATAATGAAGTAGAGGACAGGTGAAGGTTGTTGGCACTGATTTTCTTGTAAAGGAAAATTAAGATATACAAAAGCTGAAGTCCAACAACTGAACAGTAATTTTCACCCTTTATGTAGTGGAAGAATAATCGTTGTGTATAAGACATTGGAAAAATTTATAAAAAAAATATCAGAAATTAATATGTTGTCCCCATTAGTTTATCTGTTGAGGAATTGTTTTTCCATGAATTCAGCATTGCTATAAAGTTGCTATACAGATCCTTACTACCTGCCTGGGAACAACTGTGGCCTAAGGACTACTGTATCCATGTACAATAGGGCTAGACATATAGCACAAAAAAAACTACTGCTATAATATCTACTAGTTCATAGTAATAGCAGTAAATAAATAAATCTAAATTCATTAATAAAATAGTGACCAGCAGATAAATAAGTATACATTCCCTGAGAACCTTGTATAGACCATCTAACGTTCCCCAATGACAAAAAGATCTTGTAAGATTGTAGAATGCAGTCTTATTCTGAGCCATGCCGTTGATCTGCTATTAGCATCTACCCAGATTCCAAACTTTTCTTCTCCACTGATAATAATCACTGAATTCTTGACAAACCATCTCTTTTATATTAAATTTACAGACATATACTTCAGAATATACACGGTTTTAACAACTTTTCATTTGCACGAGCATTATAGCAAAACCGCAGTTATAGTATTTGTTTTATACTTCCTGGATTCACAACTTCTGCAGGGAGAGCAAATTGAAATCATTTGTATAGCTCCGTCTGATGCACCAAATTAGCTATTCCTGAATCAGGAAGCTTTGTAAATAATCACCCTTTATTGTCATTTCAGGTTTGCAACTCATGCTACCTTGAATACCACCTAGAATGCAGTAGCCTGATTAGTAATAGTTTAAGCCTAATTTGTCTGTTCTATAGTGGTACAATGAAAGCTGCACAGGTTGCCAAGTAGGCTTCTGGGTACAATTCAAGATATTGGTCATTACTTTTATAGCCTTTGTGTCTTAGAAACTCTGTATCAGACTCCTTCTTCTAGTGCAGTGGTTCTCAACCTTTTTAATGCCGCGACCCCCAACCGGTCATAAGTCGAGGACTACTCAACCGGTCGTAAGTCAAGGACTACTCAACTGGTGCAGCACCGTTTGCAGACTGGGGCTTTTGGCGGGCTCAGCAGGGCAGAGACAGCCTGGACAATTCCTATTGGCTTTTGAAAGCCAATAGAATTAGACTCTATTCAAGAGAGTCTATTCTATTGGCTTTCAAAAGCCAATAGGATAAAAGGGAGTAGCACAGCTAAGGAAAAGGGGGAAAAATGGCGGATTGCGTTGTTTGGCGACCCCCATGAAATGGTCATTCGACCCCAAATGGGGTCCCGACCCACAGGTTGGGAACCACTGTTCTAGTGGTATCTGCTTATCTGGTAAGATGTAGAAGAGGCAGCTTGCTATAGGTCCCAACCCCAAGGAAGTGTTGTGATCAGTGACCTGGTGGCGAGCCTTCTCCCTCTTTCCTCTGGAAGATTTTATCTACATAGATGAGGTTGGCTGATACCTGGTAGTGTTTCAGAAAGTTGTCAGGACCTGGGTTACCTGGAGGACCTTTGTGGATGGTTAAACAGAGGAGGTGCCACTAGCAGTTGACGAAGGGGAGATGGCTGTCATTATTCATTGTCTTGTTTACTGCTTCCTGTAAAGGGGGCTTTACGTTACTTGGGGTATTTTTTTCAGTTGGAGTAGCTTATCAGCCCAAGTATATCATATGCAGTAGATGCAGATATGAAATGAAAACTGTGTCTCCTCTCACCCTAAGCTGGACTACCGACAAACACTCTTTTTTAATTGAGAATTATATAGAGAAAAATGAATAAGTTGAACTAGGGCCTTATTAATAAAAATAGCAGTTGAAGCTAACTTTCGCTGAGGATTTTGCTTGCACATAGGAGTAACTGCTGAAAGCAGATACACATATAGATACATATACAAAAGGCTGCTGGGGCTTGGAAACTACACGGATAACATTAAAGTAATAAGACACCAGAACAGTGTAGTGCACATACCCAGCCACCCACTCACCCACTTTTCCACTAATTACCTGCAAAATAAAACACAGCAAACATAAAGCCCAACCACTTATATGTACATTAATTTCTCCATAGTAATAGTGTTTTGTTTTTTGTTTTTTTTAAAAAAAGCTCTAATTTACAAGTTCTGTTAGTAGACAGGCCTAAATAATCTCTATTCAATGCTTTCCATTCCTCCCTCAACTGCGCCAGCCTAATTCAGTAGCAGCAAGAATGTAACTGGTTGTGGGGACCATACACTCTGGAAAAGCAAGCCAATCACAAGGGACAACACAACTATCCAATCTCAGACTCTGAAAGTACAGGTGGTCTTTGAGATACGACCACAACTGAGCCCAAAATTTCTGTTGTTAAGTGAGACACTTGTTAAGTGAGTTTTGCTCCATTTTGCAACCTCTCTTGCCACAGTGGTTAAGTGAATCGCTGCAGTTAGTAACACGGTTGTTAAGTGAATCTAGCTTCCCCAATGTCAGAAGGTTGGAAAAGGTGATCACATGATCCTGGGACACTGCAGATGTCATGACTAAATTTTGATCACGTGACCATGGGTGGTGCGGCAGTGGTCACAAACGTGAAAACGGCCATAAATCACTTTTTTCTGTGCCGTTGTAACTTCGAATGGTCACAGAATGAACTGTTGTAAGTTGACGACTACTTGTACTCAAGATGATGCCTCAGTGGTTAGAATGCAGTATTGCAGGCTAACTCTGCCTACAACCTGGAGTTCGATCCTGACAGAGTTTGAGGTTGACTCAGCTTTCCATCCTTCCAGCTGGTTGGGGACAATATGGTGACTTTGTAAACCGCTTAGAGAGGGCTGCAAAGCTCTACGACGCAGTATATAAGTCTTAAGTGCTATTTGCTAGTGCTATTGCAAAGCCACGCCCAACAGCAAATTGTGCTCTAAGGCTAAAACAAAACTCAGCATCTGTATCTTTTATTTTAAGTGCGGAACACTATAACCAGCTTAGCAGCGTTTGACCTAACCAGCTTAGCAGAGCTAAAGAACAAAACAAAACAAAGATATGTGACAAACTTCGTGAACGCTTATACAATAATAATCTCTGGGTGGAAGGTTAAGACTGGGAAGTCACAAAACCACCTTGGGGGAGCATAATGTAAAAGCAATTTGGTTTTGTTGCCATGAAATCTACCTCGGTATGTCCACATAATCACCAGAAGTCTAGTTCAGCTCAAAGGATTCCTGTCCTTCACCTCCAGTGTTGGTAATTTATTATTGCACTATGATTGTCCCCTGCAGCTGAATTCATCCAAACAGCATATGATTTAAGGTGATACCCACACAATGAAAGCAGCTGTCCCATTTTTTACTTATTTATCTGCTAGTGCTGATGACTGAAACACGAGGACGCTCCAGAAACACACAGTGAAAATACAAAATCTCCTATAGTATTTCACATTGAAACACGTGGTGATAACTCTCAGAGAACTGGTTGGAAAGCCAGCTGCCCATTTAAAGAACTTGCATTACTTGTACTGAGCATCAATTCTGCATGTGTGCCCTTTTGAGTACATTAATCTTGAACGCAAACTGGACATCTTCAGGATCACTTTCCACGGTCTGGATGGGAGGAGTTGGCAGAATCTCTGCAGCTTTGAGATCCCATCTGGCAGGATACTTAGCAGATGTTTGGGGAGTGCTCTGTCGGGCTCCATGAATAGATTTACTTTCTCATGGCTGACACAGAAGGATGCTCCAGAGAGGAAGGCGAAGGGACACTAAAACTGAGTCAGGATGGAAAATATTAAAAAATAAATAAAACAAAACTGCCAGTCTCAATCCCTTCATACCCGTCTTTGGTAGGATCAGATGTGAATCACCTCATAGACAGTTCGAGCTGCCAGATCTCAAGTTGGATATTGGAAAATTAGGAAAGGATTAAAAAAAAAAGCCAACCCAAGCAATCAAAAGGCTGGAGCTATTCCCCTCTAGGAAAAGTTTACAACATTTGTGGCATTTAGTTTATTTAAAAGGACAAGAGAAGGAAAACGATACTGCAGTTCCCATTTCTATTTGTTTTTTGTAAAAAGCGCCATCTGCTTTTCATGAAAATCATAATGATTCCAAAGCAGGATATAAAGCAGTAATCCTAATTAGATATGATGTGGAGGGAAGTCTGTCGAGATTAGGTTTCTTTCTCTATTTCAGCAGTTCTCAACCTTTGTGTGACGGCAACCCCTGTCACACGGACACGCCGCGCATGCGCGGCACCGCCCCCTGAGGGGGAAAAATGGCGGATCGTGTTGTTTGGCAACCCCCGTAAAATGGTCGTTCGACCATTTGCGACCCATAGGTTGAGAACCGCTGCTCTATTTTATAATACAAGTAGTCCTCGACTTACAACAGTTCATTTAGTGGCCGTTCAAAGTTACAACAGCACTGAAAAAAGTGACTTATGGCCATTTTTCACACTTACGACCATTGCAGCATCTCTATGGTCATATGATCAAAATTCAGTCCTTTGGCAACTGACTCGTATTTATGACAGTTGTAGTGTACCAGGGACATGCAGCTTCCTGACAAGCAAAGTCAATGGGGAAGCCAGATTCACTTAACAGCCGGATTACTAACTTAATAAACGCAGTGATTCACTTAACAACTATGGCAAGAAAGGTCGTAAAATGGGGCAAAATTCACTCAACAACTATCTTGCTTAGCAGCAGAAATTCCGGGCTTAATTGCGGTTGTAAGTCGAGGACTACCTGTATTGGAAGTTGTTTTAAAACCCTGTGAACAGTGAGATATTCATGACATGTTTTGTTTTAATCAACAATATTCAAAAATGGAGAAGAGGGATAAAAAAAGAAAAGTAATAAAAAAATAACAAAAGTAAACAGAGAGGAAAGCAAAGAAAAAAAGAAGACATCCAGAACATATCTTCCATATAGATATAGGGAATCAGTCACCTTAATTTCTAAACATATAAGTACATGAGTTAATTTATTACACAGATCAAGAGCTAGTTCATAACCAGAAAATGAATATATAGTTCCAAGATTATAAATCTAGAGTTGCTTTGTCCTTCAAACATTGAACAGTGAATACAATCTTTGCATGTATTCTTTGTGTGGGATTGCATTTGGGGATATTTGTCTGTTGTGTTTTTGCATGTGTGTTATTATAAACAAATTGTGAAGTGGAGTTCTTGTTTTCGAAGAAAGTGTTCCATAGGTAGCAGTGGTGATGCTGAAAGGTCAAAAGTTGTGCATCTGAAATAAGTCATCCCATGTGTACATTATGTGGAACTATTACAAAAATGTGGCACTCGCTCTGTGATTGTAAGCCTGAGTTAAAGCAAATTTAGAAACAATGGCAAATAGGGAAACTTGTTTTTCATTAAAGAATTCTCAGTCTTTAACCATTCTTTGGCACCAAAGCTTTGCTTGAGATTTGAAATGGTGTGAGAAATTGTATCCATTACTCTGATACCTGATATGCATATTTAAGCTAGATTGAGTTTTGCTATTCTTTACCCTTGATTATGAATTCTGTAATCTAAGAACTTTGGATCTGCACGTTAATTGTTGAATTATAACTCTGTTAACAAAAATCTACTCTAAGCATAAGAAAAGGCTTGAATAATATGAACTGCAGAGACAGAAAAGGCTAAAAATCAAATTTCTTTCCAGGCCTCTTACTCTATACTCAGCTTTTCTGAGACTTGAACAAATAAAATCAAATAGAAATGGAGGAAAATTTTGACCTTCAGCACATGAGATTTCTTGAATGTCAGGTAGAGGTATAAATTACCACATTTTGGTATGACTTATAATTGATTAAATTTGTAAAAAACATAGAAACAGAAAAAATACAGTTCTGAACACAAAAGAATATCGTATTTAGTTTTGTTTTTTTAAAAAAAATAGCGTTTCTAGCGCTGATTGTCATTAAAACATTGTGGGCGCAGTGTCTTGGAAACCCATGATGTTCCGAATATTTTGACTGATGAGAGAGAGAACTAAATAAGGCAGAAATTTGAAGAAATTATTCAAAACAGAAAAACTTCCAGAATAATTAAGAGAATGAATGTACTTTTCCTATTTTATTAAGTTTCTAGTGGCTTGGCATCACTGCAAATGTAATCTATTTAATTGCATTTGATAATCTCAGGTAATTAAAACCAATGTCTGAAATAATTTATCTTTTTCTTTTTTTGTAGTTCAATTTTTTCCTACAACATGCAATATAGAAAAGAACTTTATTTCTTTGAACTACCTTGCCGGATACCTACAACCAAAGACAGCAGAGGGATGCATTATGTCTAGTATGGCACATGATAGAGAAGTTCATATAATTGAACTTATTGCACCTGATTCAAACAGGTAAAAGTTTTAAATCAAATTATATTTCTCCAGAATGGGAAAGAACTGATTTTCAGCCCTATAGCAGTTTTAAAGGCAATAAGCCTCATATTGTAAAAGCAGTATAAAAAGTATAAAAAGAACAAAATATTCAAGTTGAGACTAGCTTTTGTAGACATTTGATACAAATTCGTAAAAGGGAATCGGGATAAAACCAACCACTTTATAATTGGAACTGATATATTGATGTTTTAAAGTCATAAATTCAACCTCTTTGACCTAACATTTCAAACAAGGGACAAATCTAATGAAGCAAATCAAATTAGATGTGATATTTTCTCTTAAAATGATGGTTTCGATGCCAAGTTGTAATAAGCACAGGATTCAGCGGATTGGAGGTCTGGCTTAAACATCAGGTAGCACACAATAATTGGACATAAGCTTAAAAATTGTTTGAAGTCCTATTTGCTTCCAAATTCTACGATGGTTAGGATTGTATGTTGGGCACTATCTTTTCATTATAGGAAACTGTCATAGGAGGTGACAATAAGATTGATATTGTAGGGAAAGGAATGGCAGAACCTGAGGACAGAGTTAAAGGAGGGATCAACCTAGATTCCCTACATAAGAGAAAATAAGGGGACCAACCCCCCCCTTGAATTCTGTTGCCCCTTATCTGACTCCATGCAGATGCTATTAGTTGAGAATATTCCAGTGCAAAGACATGAATAGCACTAAATCAGCACTAAATTGGACCTTCACCTGGGCCTGACAGGTACCTGTTTAATTCTGAACTCAGAAAAACTCAGGAAGGTTGGACGTGATTCCTACTAAGTGGGAAACGACTGGGAAGTGATGAAAATTAAACTAGAAAGTTGATTAAACATCGTGGGAGAAGGTAATACAGAGACCACGTACCCATTTTTGTTAAGAAAATTGTCCACCAAGACTTGAATAGTTTTATGGGGCTGGCATAAGGAGACAGAGGATAGTAGTCCATGAGTTAAAAGGGCATAGTATAACGTTGTAAAGGGATTGAGAAGAGGGAATAGGGTTCACAATTGGGAGTTGGGGAGCAAGAAATGGGCTATTGATTTAAAACAGGCAACAATATCTTTGACAACAAAGCTAGCGTATCTCTGTGTCGTTTAAAATATGAAGTAAAGCTACGAAGCTTTACTTCAGTAATTCTGCGTAGGTAGAAGTTGCTTCTAAAATCCAGCAAGCAGATGGAACTCTTCAGTCTATTTTGCTGTTTGCCAAACTCTAGTTTGAAGAGACAGCAAAGGGACTTTAGCTTCGTACCAGAGGGAACGGAGGTATAAAATCTGCATTTAAAAAACTCCTGATGCAAACGGAGATAACTCTTTTGTGCAGATGTGAAAAGCCAGCTCTAAGTGGTTTTCCTGAACCAACACCAAAGCAGAGAAAATGTGCACTCTTTAAATGGGGAAGACAAGCTTTTGAGCAGCGTTATTAGCGTAAAGAAGTATGTTGTTTCCATTGTTATTTAAAATTGTTCTAGCAAGTGTGGCGGAACAGTCTGTTTTGCACATGCTTGGACGTCTGGGATAACCTCCAGTGTTTTAATCTACTGGCCAGACACCGGGAACATGATGGATTGGAAGAAGGTTGAGAGCAGAAATTTTCTGGCGTGCTGGCTGACTCTGCCTTGCTTTTCCATATCCAGTGCTTTCCAGGTGGATATCATCGTTGACATCAGACCATCTCAGCCAGACACTACACTTGTCAGGGATCTTGTACTTATTCTCAAGTGCAGAAAGTCAGTCAACTGGGTCATCAAATCACATGACGTGCAGGGAAGATTGGAAGCCATTGTAAGTAAATACTACCCTGCTTTGTGGCCTGGAGGAGGCACTGGGGCTGGTAACAGCTCATGCCTTGTTGTGAACAAGGAAAGGCCTGATAACAGATGGCTGACTAAATGTCTCACCCTCTTTTGCTAATGTTGTTGGTGCTTTGTTTTCTCCTAGCTACCAAGCAGCCTGCTACATGAGGCAAGGGGGGGGGGATGATAGCCCTTTTATGACTTGTGGACTTCAACTCCCAGAATTCCTGGTGGCTCAGGAATTCTGGGAGTTGAAGTACACGAGTCATAAAAAGCCATCATTCCCTACTGCTGATGTAAGGGATGGATCAACTTTCATTTCTGAAGGCCTTTATAAAGCTCAGGGATGCCATTGCATCCTATTCTGTGCACCTGTTGAATTTGAACCTTTTTTTAAAGCTCTTCATTCAACAAAAATCAAGGGTTAAATCAAAATTATTATTATTATTTAAATATTAAGAGCAATTGAAAGGGGAAGGGTCCCATACATGCAAAGTTCCTGTGTTGTTCCACTCACAGTTCTAAAAGCTGAAGGGATTCAGTGACTATCATATTCCTTCTGTTCCCAAGAATGCATTCATAAATGAAGATATCTATTCTCTATCTATCTGTCTTGTCAGTTTAATTTATATGGCTGCTCATGTCACAAATGTGATTCTGGGAGGCATACGATAAAACCAATAATTGCACAGAGCAGTGCTCACCAGTGGTCAGTTACACAGTATTGCTAAATATGGGGTATTTCTCACTGACAATAACTCCAGTTTAGACAGTGTTCATATCAGCATTTGGCATTTTGGGGCAGGTGCTGGGATCTCATTACATAATGTTAGAATCTCCTATTGTTAAATAGGATTAAAATGTGGCATTCTGAGCAGCTTTGCGCAACTGGATGTAACTGGCCTTTTCATTTCTCACAGCTACCTTTTGGGGGCCTTGTGAAAAATGAAAACAGTTGCTAGAAATACAGCAGCTACGCCCATCAGAGGACACCAAGGCAGGCTAAACTGTAGAGCCCACCTTGTTTACATAGCATTTTTGTGGTAGGTTTGCGGCTCAAGAAAATCAGATTTCTACAACTGCACGGGGACGTTGTAAGTTGAACCACATCGTGCTAGAAGGTGTGATTACATCTTTAGACTCGGATGTATGTTTAAAATCAATAACACTTTGATGGGCTTTTGGTAAGGCAGTGGTTCTCAACCTTTTTAATGCCACGACCCTCAACCTGTCGTAAGTTGAGGACTACTCAACCGGTCGTAAGTCAAGGACTACTCAACTGGTGCAGCACCGTTTGCAAAATGGGACTTTTGGCGGGCTCAGCAGGGCAGAGACAGCCTGGACAATTCCTATTGGCTTTTGAAAGCAATAGAATTAGACTCTATTCAAGAGAGTCTATTCTATTGGCTTTCAAAAACCAATAGAATAAAAGGGAGTAGCACAGCTAAGGAAAAGGGGGAAAAAATGGCGGACTGTGTTGTTTGGCGACCCCCATGAAATGGTCGTTCGACCCCAAATCGGGTCCTGACCCACAGGTTGAGAACCACTGTGCTAAGGTGAATGGCAAAGAGAAAGCACCTGCTGAACTGGGAAGGATGACCAGCAATTTAAGATTGCTTGGAAGAGAGAAAAGATGGTTTGGTGAGAAAATGAACGGAGAAAGAGAAATATCAGAAAGGGAAAATGAGCGCCCTACAGAGGGAGGGGATAGGGGTCTCATACGCCCTCTGGCTTTGGATTCCCTCTGTGCTTTAGTCCTGCTCGCTATGATTCCTCAGCAGAGTATCTCTGAGAAAATGCTGTCTAGAATAAAAAGATTGCCCATCCATAAGGGAAAAAAATAAATGGGAACAGAGCTATTCAGTTCAATAACTGGAAAATGCAAGGCAATGGTAAGCTTAGAGATAGATCAATTCTCTTCCTAAAGCATTTCTATGCCTGCTGCACGTTGAATCAAGGAATACTGTACTCAAAATGGGGCTTATTCTTATTTTACTATATTCAATACTATATGTATTTCCTTTTAAGTATGATTTCTGAGTATCCATTTTCCAACGATTAAATGCAACATTTGCTAAAGTGGTCCGGTTTGGGGATTCTTGGAAGCTTTTTGCAAACAGGGGAACTTGGATGATGTATATACAGTGTTTTATTTTTTATTGCACACTTTAATACATTGCTCTAATTGTGTTCATTGCCATAGTGAAAAATATATATTTTTTCAAAGACTTAAAGATTACTTGGGGATGATCTTCAGTTTTACAGATGGTCCCCTGATTCTCCAAACATTCTGACATCAAAAATTACAATTTAATTCAAATCTTGCTGCCTGATAGGGGCGGACAGTAGAGGAGAGAGATTTTCCTGCCAATTATTAGTAATGAGTTATAAGCCATAAGAATCATTACACTGTCTTTTCTGTCCTTTCTCCTACTGGTTTGAAATTCTGAGAATTTGAACTTCAAACGTACTTAGCATCAGGTTGCAGAAAGTTGTCGCAGTGTGTATTTCCTCTCAATTATCCCTTGGCATGGAGGATCTCATTCTGTTTGCTAAGCGGAGTTATGGTCAAGAGCACTATTTTGTGCGATCAAACCCATAGAGCCATTTTATATGTTGTGGTTATCAATAGAAGAATCTCATGAAGCAATGAGGTTCTGTCATATGGATATTCCTCAGTTAAAATTGTTTGAACGTATCTTACCGATTACCCACTAATTTTTGTTCCTTTTGGTAAAAGTCCTCGTGTGGACAAGAAAACATTGATTCCTTCTGACTGAATGGCACAAAATGAATGAGTGAGTGAGTGAATGAATGAATGAATGCAAAGTTTGATCTGAAGTGATAGTTAACTAAACCTTTCAAAACTAAAAAAAAAAATTAAGTTTTGTAAGAAAAAATAGTTCTGTCCAGGGCTAACGTTTTTATTTTCTGTTTTATAGACATCAAATGGGGTTGGCTTTGGAAAAGAAACTGAACGCTCTATGGCGATGAGTAAAACTATAGTGTTTGATATGCCTTCCTCTCATGAGAATTTAATTGCCTGGGCATATGAGCATGGCTACTACCCAGTTACTACTTATACAAAAGCACCCCTTGCTAATAAGTTTCACCTACACCTCATGGATGCAGGTAAGGAAGAACATCAGATCGTATTAAATACAACAGTATTCTTTTGCTCTCCTTAGTCCATTTTCCAAAGGTCTTGAATTGAGAAGATACTTGACAGGCATTTTTGCTCTTGGAAGTTACAGTGCAGAATGTTACATCTGTTAACATTTGTGAGATGATTCTCAGCTTTGTACTTTATTTTTCAAATGTTCTGTTTTCCTGAGCTAAGGTTGCAGAGGGAATTCATACTTTTATATTTTGCATAACTTACCAAGGCAGTGTTTATCCCTCCAAGAACAAGGAACTAAAAGGGATCTAGATTTGGGCAGGTTGAAAGAATGGAGAGGATCATATCTTCTTTTGCACATGCCCTACCAAATGAGATACCTTCACTGTTGTTTCCTGTGAAGAAAGAGAAGTATCAGATGCTAACTGTACATAAACAATTAGCAAATTAAATAGCATTCTTAATATAATGTCCGTTTCATGCATCCTGCTAAGTCAGCATTTGTTATAATCATTTATTATAACCATGATTGGTTGAGAAAGCCAGGAACAAGCCAAAGCCAGTTTTGCTGATAAGACATATTGGGTAAATTCCTAGGATTTTTCTCTTTGTTACTTCTGCCAAGAACAATAAGAGCTAAGTTGAGTAAAAGACAAATTTAGGAATAAGCCAGTGTTACACCTTCAAACATAATAAGTCATGGTTAAAGCAAGCTGGAAATCATAAACCATCAAATATTGACTTGTCGCAAGAAAAATAGGCCAAAGAAACTGTTTCTTGGGACGGCAAAGAAAAAAATAATATCATGTTTAACATGCTGTGTGAACTAACCAATGCATGACTCTAGTTATGAATAAGTTGAATGGAATTATTATTCGTAATTTCTCTCTTTCTGTAGAAGAAATGAATGATGAAGAAGACGATTTCCTTCCACCAGAGCTGACGGAACTGCTGCATGGCATTAAAGCCCCACGTTTGAATGAAGACATGCATTTTGGTTTTCTTCATGAGAAGAACCAAGGCTCCTTGCCATCAACTGACACTGTTGACCCAATCATGGCCAGTCATGGTTTTGAACAGCTTCTTCCAAAAGACCCAGAGCCAGAAGAAGTGCAGGGTAGCGTTGATGTTGCCATGTCTGTGATATGTAATGATACATCCATGATGGTAGCTGTAGCAAAAGACTCGCTGGAGGTTAGTATGCTGTTTTAATTTCATTTCAAAATAAATTATTTTGGATTCTGGTTAGTCAGATTCATACCGGCGCAAGACCGATATCCTTACAGCTGCTTTGTATTGTTTGGGGTTCCTCTTGCTTGTTCTGATGAATATGGTTCTGCTGAACCTCAAAGCAAAAGCAGAAGATGTTCTTCTCATCAGCTCAGCAAACGTCATGTGACCTAAGGGGCCATTAGTGTTCCATTTGGCTCTAAAAAAGTAGTGACACTCAGCTGAGTCCATAGTCTCAGCAGTGCAGCTTTTGTTTAGGTAGGGTGCAGTCTTGAGATAGTAGAATGCACCATGTCGTTTCAAGTAACTCAGAGGTCTTCAAGCTCGGCAACTTTAAGACTTGTGGACTTCAACTCCCAGAATTCCTCAGTCAGCCCTTAAAGTTGCCAAGTTTGGAGACCCCTGAAATAACTGATCACTTTTTGCAAATCTCTCCATTTAAAAGTCCACTGATAAAGAAATCCCACAGAGAGGAAATGAAAAAGTTTACTGCCTTCCTCCCTTCTATGATAGCTTTTGTGCATGTAAAGAAGCTCCGTCTTGTTTCTTCAAAAACGGATGGGAACTTCAAAAATCCCATTTCTCTACAGTGTTGTATTCTGAAATGTTCAAGTCTACTTTGCATTCTCAGGATCTTCATTTCTTCATTCTACTGAACGGGTAGAGACTATCCAGTTGCTTGTCTGCTGAATGCCTGCCCTGCTGGTTTCCTACTTCACTCATTGTGTCAGCACAAATAATCATACAACAGATTTCTAATACAGAGTTTCTCGATGTGAGAGAAAATGCTTGGTACCAGTTGTTGCTTTTTATCACTGCCCTTTGCAGTTCTGATCAGTGGCTCAGGTATAACCTTCTAGCTTGTTCTGTTTCCTTTTAGGCTAGAGGTTTCGTTGGGACTCAGCTCTCTCTGCTGGATCCTAGCTGCAGAGCTAAAACAAACAGGACCCATTTCATTCTGGAGTCATCTTTGCGAGATTGTGGGACCCGACAGATTCCCTATCCTTTGGATAACATCGTCTATCTCAACTCTGTGAGTCTCTTATCTCTTAGAAAAATACTGAAATGGAACCCCAAATCTCTCTTTCTGCTCCTCAGTTCTTAGAAGACATCAGGAGGAGCAGCAGAGGTTATTTCTGAGCTGTTTCTCTGATACAAAGATACTGAAATCTGCTCCACATCTTTTTCCAGATTTTATAGCTAAAAACACTGAAGGGCAAAATATGTCAGAGGGGAGGAATATTTCCTAGCTGCTTTTTAGTCCACAGGTTACCATTATAATATCCTTCATCAGATGCATATGGTACCATATCTAATGCTGATTTCTAATAAGTGATGGTGGGATGACACCATTCATTAAATACACATCTGTGAAATAAAATTTGCCACCCTTTTGATTGTCTGAATTTTTGCATGTCTTTGTTCCTGAAAATTACAAGAATGTGGGTCCTATTGACTTATACAGAGGATCTGATCTTGTGTCTATTATTTTTGAAGTAAAGTCATTTAATGTGCAGCAAAAACATGGCAGGATCGGAAATGGTTACATTAGAAGACCCTCAAATGTTTCTGAAGCAGCTTGACATGGAGGAATGGCCCAAAATTCCTACAGAACAATGTAAAAGACTGATCACCAAGAACTGGAACTGTTTGGTTGCAGTTATAACAATTAAAATGGTGAAAACTAATTAAGGAACCTACAAATTTTGGGTTTTCTTTCTAGCATTTTGCCAATGGGGTGACTTCGTTTAGGACATATATGAAGCAAGGGTGAAAGTTTGTCACACAGATTCTATTTCAACAGAGAATATATATCTGATAACGTTCAGTGGCAAAGGTATGCAAAAATCAGAACAAGGATAAATGTTTTTAATAGAACTGTATGATATCTTTTTCAGTTGCTCATCATTATTGGATTGGGGTGAGAGTATTTGGATAATCGCAGTTATTTTTCAGTAGTAGCTGCAAGCACGAACTTATTTAGAAGTAAACCAAATACAGTAACTTGGCAATTCCAAAATAAGTCATATTTTAAGTTAAAGGATATTGTATATGCTTTGGGGGGGGGGGTTTCTGGTGTATGCTAGTTATGTTAAATATATTTTCATTATTAATGTATTTCCAGTGCTGGAAATTTGAATCCAAGGGTTGAAATGGATTTTTCCAAGTGTATAAACAGCTATGCAAGTTATTTTGCCCATGTAAGATTTTTTTCCTTTCAGTCTGATTCAGCATTTTTACTGTGACTTGGGTGGATGTTAGCCAGTTCAGGTAAACAAGCATAGCTATTGGCTTTTGTAATTTCAGCACATGGTGACAATTTTGGCAAATGAAGAAAAAATTGTTGTCCAACTCAAATATAGCTAAGGCAACCTGATCAGACATAGCCATATCCAATATATATATTGGAAAGCCTGTCGCTTGGTGGTTAAATCACTGCCTAGTATGTAAACTGCCCAGGTTCGAATCCCATAAAGGCTGTGGCTAACTGAAGAGAGCAGAATGAGCTCAAAATGGCCATCTTAGTCTCCCAGTTTAATTCTTTAACTCTTTGTCAGAAAAAGAAATTTGGATATTTTAAAAGACCATCTAAAATCCTTTTTGGCATTTGATCTAGAGATGTACCCAACAAAAACTATAGAATATAGATCAACAGGTTGTGGAAAAATACATCTGGATCTCAACTCAGTGGTTGGACTCCTATCTTTAAACATTAAATTGATCTTAAAAGCACAGATTTTTTCTTAGTACTCAGACCGATTTCTAACTCACTGAAACGAGCAGTGAATTATGAAGCAAATATCTGAAAAAGCTTAGAAATACCTTTTGCATGTCAACCATCTGTCATGTGAGCAAACAAAGGTAGAACTGAATTGAAGAAATACTGCATCATCAGGAAATCCAGAAGAATATGTAGGGAACATTTGTGTATGAAAAGCACAAATGAGTAATGCGCTCAATAGGGGGGTTATTTTGGGAAATAAAGGGTTTTTATTTTGTTGTTTTTAAAAAAGCAAAGTTGGGAATAGCAAAAACTTAATGGGTATAGAAGGAAGAAGATAATACAAAATAAAAAGAAGAAGAAAACTCACTATTATTGTGTGTTCTTCAAATAAAGAAATACTGAAGTAGTATAAAGTTAAAGCTCTTTGCCTACTGAATACTGTGATGATTATTAAAAAGTAGGATATATGCAAGTCCAGTTCGACGACCCATTACTTTTTTGAAATGCAGAATATGTTATAGTTTTACCAGAAGGAGAAGTAAAACTGCTGGTATAGTCATTTATGTGCCAATACTCAGATGGCTTTTTAAAACCAATATGTTACTTCTATTACACTCCAGGTTTGGAAGCCTAACAATAAGCCTATTTTTACCATGCAAATAGATAAATTGACTGACCTGGAAGATATGGGGGTGGAATTGAAGGGTTTAGATCCTGGGGTGGCTCTTTGTAATGATAATATTCAGTAACTTCCTACAAGATGAATGTTCAGCATCGTTTAGAAACTTGCCATTCTGTACCTACTTCCTCTTTTTATTGTCTATTGAAAAGAACAGGAATCATTCAGCATTCATTTACCTTTGACCTGACAAATTCTGTGCAAACTAACAATCACAGTTTAAATAAACTGTAATCCAGAGGTCCCCAACCTTTTGGGCACCAGGGACCGGTTCCACGGAGAGAGGTTTTTCCGTGGACTGGAGGGCACGTGGTTTTGTGTGCTGCCTGCATCCCATGGATGGGGTTTTGCTTGTTTGTGTGGACCGGTTGCTGGCATGCTGTGGCCCGTTACCGGTCCACGGACCGGGGGTTGGGGACCCCTGCTGTAATCAACTGCAAAATTTAAGGTAAATTGTTCTTAAGATATCCTGCTGACCAGAGCATACAGGTTGTCCTCAACATATGACTACAATTGAGCCCCAAGTTTCTGTTGCTAAGTGAGACATTTGTTAAGTGAATTTTGCCCCATTTTACGACCTTTCTTGTCACACTTGTTAAATGAATCGCTGTGGATGTTAAGTTAGTAACATGGTTGTTAAGTGAACCTGGCTTCTCCGTGGATTTTGCTTGTGAGAAGGTCACGAAAGGTGACCCCAGAATACCGCAACCATCATAAATATGGGTTGGTTGCCACCAAGGGTCTGAATTTTGATCACATCACCCTTTGGCATGCCACAACGGTCGTAAGTGTGAAAAATGGTCCCAAGTCACTTTTTTCAGTACTGTTGCAGTTTCGAACATTTACTAAATGAACCGTTGTAAGTCGAGGACTACCTGTATAGCCTTTTGTATAGGCTTCTTCTGTTTGCATGCTGTACACAAACTGAAACAAGTTGTTCCCGATTTGTGAACTTCATATCCTGAAACTGCCTAGCCAGCATATCCCCCGGAAGGGGCTAAAATTTGGGAAAGCAGAGGGTATTTCCTATGAATGTGGTTATTGTCTTGATCTAACATTTCAAACAATGGTTGCACGGAAAAGTAGGATAAGCTTAAAACAACAGATAACAGATCTACTACTATTAGATCGTCCCCATAACCAATTTTTCCTTGCATGTTTCTTATCAAGGAGACAAGCGAGATGGGACCAGAATCCAGAAAAGCTTTGACAGTTGTTGTTTTTTTCCCTTTCTCCATTTGGTTAAAGATTGTTATCCAGGTGTCACCATCATCTGAAGCTAGTGGTTGGCTAGTTGATTATGAAGACATGGAATCAGGGGATAATGGTTTTCCTGGGGACACCGATGAATCGGACATCACCTTTTTCAGCCGGCCTGTCATTGTTGTGGTATGTAGTGATTATCCATCGTTTGGCTTGAGAATCCAGAAGACTGATAATGATCATTGCTTGGAACTTTGAGTTTTTTAAAGTATTTGATAAACAACATTTATGATACACAGACTGATTGAAAGCCAGACACATTTCTGTGCACCTGTGAATTATATATCTTTTATTGATTCAGGAACCAGAGTACTAACTTTCTCCTTCCAATCCCAAAACAATATCAGTTTTTCATGCTGTTAAGGTATGAATGGTCTCTGTATTTTCCCAATGAACCTTTTCTTTCCAAATAGGCTTTTTTTTTTTTTTTTTGGTTTTAAGAAAAGCTTCCCTTCAGCGAGTATTTTTGGGTTTCTTCATTTATCCTATCTCCCAATCTGTTCTTTGTTCAAAATGATAAATTCGCCCCAAACATATATTTTTGTTCGGTTGTCTGTATTTAAGAATATATGTCTCTCTTGCCATAAATTTAGTGAAGAAGATTTAAATTGCTGCCTTAATAAGCGTTGTTTGATTGTGTGTATTCATAAGGACTTTATGGTATCACTCATGAGAGGGTTAGACAGAAAATAAGATAAAAAGAAAACATCATTCTGAACCAAAGCAATGGAGAGATAAGTCAATTTTAAAGAAAGCTTGATTTTTCTCCCTTTCAAAAATGTTTGTAAATCAGTCATACTTGAAATATGTTTGTGATGGGAGTGTTGATGTGTGTCTGGGTCTTCATGGAGACATTGTCTGACTGGATGGAATTAGGCCACCAAAGCTCTCAAATATTTTAGATCTAACCCAAGTCTCAAAACATTAAAAAATAAAATGGCAAAAGACTACGCTTCTGAAATATGGTCTTTTGGCAACAGGACTGTAAGGTTTTCTAAGGCTATAAAAATGTAATTGGGAGTCCACGTGGAGTCCACAACTGTTCTTGCCTTTCCTTATATGTTTTTCTATCTTCTTAAATTAATTTATCTTCTTGTCTATGGACTAGTTCAATTGCACATTCCACCAACCCAGAGATCCAAGGATTTCCAAGTTCTGGCCCCCTGAAATACATGTTGGCAATGCCACCTTTGGAATGGAACTCTACGAGACGGAGCTTTTTCATACCCCAGTTCAAGGATTCTTCTCTGTGGCAGACAACAGCCAGATTTTTGTCGAGGTAATTGACTCGAGCAGAAATAGGAATCAATGAAATGTTTTTCAGGAACACGGTAGTTGAGAAGAGGCTGTTCTCCTATGTCCTAAGCTGGCCTGGTTCAACTGCCTCTGGCAGGCAGATGCGTCCTCTTGTGGTTTCTGAAAGAAGGAAATTGTACCAATCTTGAATAAAATAATTCTTTTGTGGTAAAGACCAAGAAATCTTAGTAATATGGCAAGTCCGGTGCAAAACATGTGTCTTCCTCATCAAGTCTTCTATGAAATAACAATCATTCATGAAAATAATGCTCTATTGTTTCATGTTTTTCTCATGCAAATTGCCAGCAAAACATGCATGAGCACGCACAGTTTAAAAAATGAGTTCTTTCCTTTTTATTTATTTAAAAGATTTATACGGCCGTCCATCTCAAGCATCTCTGGGTGGTTTCAAACAATTCCAAGAATTGCTGTGTATCACATGCAAATTCTCAATATACAGTAGTGTCCCTCTCTGTCTCCTCTCTCTGAAAGGGGTAGAAGATAAAATTCTCATTTGTTCCTTAATTTGTTAATGTCATGTTCTAGTATAAAGCTGATTATTTTTGACTCTGTAAAAACTAACACTCACACCCAACTACAGTCGACTAAGTTTGTGTCACCACACTTTGAAAGAGTGCAATCCCTCTTGGTTAATGAGTTTACCCTGTGCTAAAATAGAATGCAGCTAGTTTTTGTTTGACTTGGTATTATATATGATAAGAGCCGAGGTGGCGCAGCAGTTAGAGTGCAGTACTGCAGGCCACTTTAGCTGACTGTGTTCAGCAGGTCAGCGGTTCAAATCTCACCGGCTCAAAGTTGACTCAGCCTTCCATCCTTCCGGGGTAGGTAAAATGAGGACCCAGATTGTTGGGGGCAATGTAAATATATATATACATTGCTTACTGGTGTACACCGCTTAGAGAGTGCTTGCACTTAAAGCGGTATATAAGTCTCATAAATAAATAAATAAATGAACCCAGCCAATTAAGGTTTAGTGAACAAACTACAAAGAAACCATGACTTAACATACCAAAGACTTTGAGGATATTACACCTATAAAAGTATGTTTTCATATTCCACTTTTAAAAATGGTGGTTACTATAAAAGAAAAAAAAAGTCTGGTAAAACTCTTAAAATCCCTCCTGATGTGGGGGGAATGACAGGCACCAAGTTTCCTAATTCTGCAGATTATCCAAGTGGGAGGGATAGCCAAGGTATTCAACATCTGATTGACTGACTTTATTATACTGCTCTGCCGTCTTCAAAAACATTAAATGTAGCATAATCTATTTTTCTTTTCTTGTGCAGATTTCTCTGACAAAGGCTGAGAGATCCCTGGGCTTTGTAATCCAAACTTGCTTTATTTCACCAAATTCCTATCCTGATCGAATGTCAGAATTTACCATTATTGAAAATGTTTGTCCTAAAGATGAGTCTGTAAGATTCTTCAATGTTCCGAAAGCTAATTTTCCTGTCCCGAATACACAGACCGTCAAAAAGCGATTTAGCTTCTTATTCAAATCCACATTCAACAGCTCTCTTCTCTTTCTACACTGTGAGGTGACTTTATGTACAAAGAAAGAAAAAGATATTCCAGGATTAGCTCAGGTAATTTGTGAGAAGGTTCCTCTCCCTTTTTCTCTTTCTGGCACACACAAACACACATCTGTAATTACCTTGTGCTGCAATCTACACCACCACTAAGAGTTTTAAGATAAAACTTAAGCCAAAACTTTCTTGGTTGTGGTTTAATGTGTGGATCTGACAATAAAGGTGGGCATAGACTGTTTTCTGAGAGCACCTATCATATATAGTGTAATTCACCTACATTGCAACCGTTCTGGTAGGTTAACAATTCTAAAGAAACTAAGTATTTGTTTATTTAATGTGAATCACTGAAAAAGAAAATAGAGAAAGCCAAAGTTCTAAAATGAATGTCAAATGAAGAAAACTACTGATTGTATTAAGGTTAAAACTGGGCAAGAAATAAACATACCGCATGCTCTTTATAATGTAATTTCAATCAAGAAATACTTCCTGCTACAGATTTGAACAGGGAAGGTAGAGATCAGCATGCAAATGGAGTTTGACAGCCCTAGAGAGTGTTGTCAAAACTTGCTTGTGTTCTGCCGTGGATGAACCAACAACCAACTTGCAGAGAAAAAGCACGAAACAAAATATTGCCCTGCTGTCTCTTTGCCTCTGCATGCCCAGTTTTTGTTTTTGTTTTAAAATGTGAGTCTGGCCACATTTCTTATGGGGGCTCATGGCCCTTAGTTTAGGAAACCCAGCCTTAGACTTTGGCTGGGAGTTGCATAGCTGGAGAGTGCCAAGTTTGGGAAGCTACTTTACACAATAGTATAGCCAAAGAAGTTATAAGTGTGACTGATTGGTTAAACCAATTTGCAACAGATAATGTTAACCAATACATTTTCTACATGAGTAACAGTGAGTTTTTCTAGAATAGATTGTACAGTGTGAAGCTACCCCTCTGAACAGGGAGCTGTTATAATATTGAGGTAGGGCTTAATATGAATGCTCAGAGTTGGGTCTTTTCCAGCATAAAAGAAAGACTGATGAATACAATTTCATATGGTCAAGGATTAATGGTTTTTCTAAAAATGTGGCTGAATGGTATTTTTTTTGGTATGTAACCTAATAGGTATTTTGTTGTTATTCCTCCCCTTTTTTTCTATGCTTCCTCCTCCGTCTCATTCTTCTTTACATTCAAAACAAACTTTTTTTAAAAAAAGAATAATATATTCAACTCCATTTTCTGAAAGCATTTGAGTCAGAAGGGATGATCAGTTTTGGAAGATCTTATGTAGCAAGACTTTAGACTGTAGTTGCCAAGTAGCATTTTGCCCATTGTAAGATTAGGCTGTTAGTCTAAAGAATATTCTGTGTTTTCCTAGGGTTTTACTCAGGCATATAAGACAGGCCCATATCAGTTATTCTAATAATCCATTCATCTTGCCCAAACTGTGCATTCCTTGTTGTTGGACTGGAGGCCATCCAGTTCCACCAGTGTGCCATATCAGCTGGGCATTTCTGGGAGGTGAAAAATTCTCTTAAGAAGGCCAGTTTAACCACTAGGGTTAATTCATTTGAACGTAGGTGAACTGTAGCTACTTGCAGGATCCAATCTGAGTTGGTCACTGGGAACAGAGGTCTAGTTTTCTAAGCTTTCGGACTTGTTCTGGAGCCCATCCTCCGGGGAAATCTCTCTATCTAAATGTGTGCTTTGGGCTATTCTATGCGTAGTATTTATATGGTGGTTGAGTGGTGTGGCTTCTTATTGGTTGATTGGAGTGTAAGAAGCCACACCCAACCAGGCACCACATAAATACTATGTATAGAATAGGTCAGTGGTGGCAAATCTATGGCACAGGTGCCAGAGGCGGCACTTGGAGCCCTCTCTGTGGGCACACGTGCCATTATCCCAGCCTCGCCTCCCCCCGCGAACCTCTCCACTCCAGCAGCTCCCCTGAAGAAGAGTCACCCCTGAACGTGGCCCACGTGGAGCAGCGCAACCAAGGACATGGCAGCCAGGCAGCGTAGACGAGACTCTGCCCTCATACCCCATCGTGCACAGATGATGCTGCAGGGCTGGGGCAGAGGACGTGACCGCCATAGTGCTGCTGGGCTGCCTGGGCGATCTGCAGGGGGCCTTAGAGGTGGTGAGTGGCCCTGCGGGCAGGTGGGGCAGGGGATGGGGGGCAGAGCGGGGGTGGGGCAGGGGGTGGAGTGGGGCGGGGCCAGTTTTTGAGCACTTGGTCTCTAAGAGGTTCGCCATCACTGGAATAGACCAAAGCACACATTCTGGTGAGAGAGAAGTTCTCTGTAGGTAGGCTCCAGCACAAGTCTGAAAGCTTGGAAGACTAAATCTCTGGTCCCTGGTGACTGACCCCATTGGATCCTGGGACATGTACATTTGCCTTCATTCATGAAGCTACGTGGTATAAATTGTCATTACAATAGATTCCAGAAGGTTAATAAACTTAGGAATAATTGCAGTTAACAGCAGTAGGACAATATATGTTGAGTTTTCCCAATGAAAACTGCTGTAGCTTTTGACGGCATGAGATATATTTTCCATTAAATGGTTATAGGTGATAGACAGAAATTGCGTTCTATTGTTGAAGCGGTTCAGATTTACTTAAACTGTTCGGTCCTCATCACATTTGTTGTAAACAATGCATTAGCGTTAATTTTCCAGATCCTGCTGAGATAAAATAATGTTATTGTTTCTGAATCTCTACCGGTGAATTATTAGGTTGATCTGCTTCAGAGGATTTTGAAGGAAAATAAAATTAAACTTAATTTCTGCATTTTTAATTGTTTATCTCACATAGAATATCTGTTTTATAGATGTAGTAAATATCTCTAAGCAGGGGGAAAAAAGTCTCTTTGTTCTAAAACATTAAAATAATCAGCATCTTTTTTAAATGGGCAGTATTACTTTTCTACTCGGGGGTGGGGGAACTGAACAGTCTTAGAGCAGACCAACAGTCATCTTGTCTAGTCTCATTACCTATTGTGTTGATTGTGTTCATGAAGATAGAAAATGGGGTAGGAAACAGAAGAACCTTTCAACACAGTGGTGAAGCAACAAATGGACATTGCACACAGGGGACTATCTGCGGCCTTGAGAATCGGTAGAGTTTGCAATAGGGATGAACATCTATAGCTCGGGTTGTAGGTTGAGGGTGAAGGTTCGTTCTCCAAGCTTGAGGGCTGGTTTCCAAATGTTTCATTACCAGGCTAGGTAACATCTTCAGCGGAGTTTAGGGCAGACATGTCAAACTCGCGATGTCATGTGATGTCGCGCATCGTATCGGGACAATTTTGCCATTGCCGGCAATAGGGTGGGCGTGGCTTCCGGATGATGCGTCCGACCCACTGTTTGGGGATGTCAGTGTCAGGGTTTAGGGGACGTCAGTGTCAGTGTCAGGGTTCTACTTATATAAGGGCTTCAGGTGTGGGTCTTGTGATGGGATTGGTAGAGTTTTAAGTAACTCAAATATCAAGGAAAAGCTGAAATGTAACTGAAATAAATTCTTGCAAATGTTCTTGGAAATTTTTTTTACGTTTTGCCCTTTCTTGAGTAAATATCACTAAATACTGATAATGATGGTGGTGATGACGATGATGATGAACATTTGCTGTGATAATATAAACGTTTTCAGTGAGTCTCTGATCTTACAAGTCACCTGTTGTCTCCCTCTTGCAGTGTATCCTTCCAGATGAAGCGTGCACCTTTCTTAATGTTGATATGATCTTTGCAATGATGCAGAATAAGAAAACCTTCACCAAACCTCTTGCTGTGATAACTAAAGGGAGACCAGAAGGTACTGAACACATTTTGAATCTCTGTATACAAGTTTGCCTCCAGGCATATACAATTTTGCATTCTGGTGATGTTGTTGTTGTTGTTGTTGTTGTTATTATTATTATTATTATTATTATTATTATTCCTAATTTATAACAAATAACCATTATTTGCTAAACACTAATATTTGTTTGCGCTCATATTTTCCTTGAATCTTCTTCCAAGTGCAATTTGGCCAAGGATTCACAAAGGAATGTATTTTGCTTCTATATATGGAATTTATAAACATTAAATGATGCTGCCCAATTGATTCCAGCTGTTCATTATGCTATAGATATTGGGAAAGCTTGCATAATTTCTTTCTTTGGGGCAGTAAATACTTATTTAAATGTTGTAACGGAACTTCAAATATATTGAAAATATTCCATAGCATGATGTGTTCCTGTTAATAAAGACAACCAACAAAGAAAATGGCAATATTTATATTTAGAAATCTGAAGGGATTCCTTTTTTTCCCCTCCTTGTATCTGTATCATTGTTAACCTCTTTTTTTCAGGAGGAGGAAGTATATACAGTAAATAACAAATCTCTAGATTACCCTTAGCCTTATCCTTACAGGCAATCCTCAACTTACAACAATTCATTTAGTGACCGTTTGAAGTTACGATGGCACTGAAAAAAGTGACTTATGACCATTTTTCACACTTATGACCATTGCAGCATCCCCATGGTCACGTGATTTACATTTATATTCGGATGCTGGACAACTGACTCATATTTATGATGGTTGCAGTGTCCCGGGGGGGTCACGTGAAAAGCCAGATTCACTTAACAACCATGTTGCCAATTTAACAACTGCAGTGACTCACTTAACAACTGTGGCGAGAAAAGTTGTAAGATGGGGCGAAAACTCACTTAACAAATTTCTCACTTAGCAACATACATTTTGGGCTCGATTGTGGTCATAAATTGAGGACTGCCTGAATTGGTATGTTAAAAAAAAAAACCCCTTACTTTCTACCCGCTTTGATAAAACTTTTCTATCTTAAGCTTTTCGTTTTCTGGTGCTTCACGTCTGAGTCCACAATCCACACTTTTACTTTCTATATTGATTTCCTTCTCCCACACAATTTTTTCTCTTAAAATGCTCCTCATATTATTTGGAATTTAGCTTCCCGAGGTTTGCAAGGCTTCCGACCAATTAAATTAACCTAATGCAGTTAATTGGTTCACTGAACCCATCCGATATTAACACACGAATAGTGTCCTGTGTTCAAAGAAAATTTGCAGGTTTTTTGATAACCCAAAATTATTTGCACAGATTGAACTACAAAGGAAATCTTTGTCTCTCTCAGTATATTTGTTAGTGCTATACAATCTTCCCCCTTTTCTCTCTACCCATAGGAGAAAAGAAACAATCCTATGTGATGTGTATTAATTTTTTATTTATTTATTTTTAATTTGAAGCTGCCAGAAATCTGAAATGCTGGATAAATATGTACCCTTTTTGCCTCTTTGTAATTGAGTGCAATGAACATTCCTTATGAATGATGTTGCATATAAAGGTTCATTTCATTGTGTAGTTGAAAGCACATGGATAAGCCAAAACATAATCCACATCCAAAATTCTGATTTCTGTCCCAAATTATTCAGGCATTATTGCTAGCTGGGGAATATGCGATCCCTACACACACACACACACACACACACACACACACACAGAGAGAGAGAGAGAGAGAGAGAGAGAGAGAGAGAGAGAGAGAGAGAGAGAGAGAGAGAGACCAGAATAGCTGCCAACTTGGAAAAAGCTATTTAAGCCAACATTACTTTATTCATCCTATATTGGAACTGGTTGTTGTTGTTTTGTTTAAGTAAATCCCTGTTGTGCTTCCTCTCTCTCCTCTTCCTCTCCCCCCCCAGCTTCATGAATGGAAAAATGGTAGAAAGTTACAAAATATAATCTCCCCATATTGTATGTTGTAAAGAGAGAATATAAAATATAGTTGAAAAAGCAATAGGTGATTAAACAACCAATCTTAACCAATTTAAGTTGGACCAATGTTTTCAAAATCAGGGGTTGATTAATATGGGTGGCAAAAGCTGGTGAGTCCAGCTAACCATGCATGCGCATATAAAAATAATCTTTCTTTGGGCCCCTCTAACAATAGCAGCAAATGAGCATTTTTACTTATTTTTTAAAACCTCAACCTTGCATTTTTGCATTTGGTGTTGACATGGCACATTAATTAAAGGGTTACAGTTCTTTCAGATGGAGATCAAAATCTTTCACTTCTATGCGAGGGCTGTTTCAAATTCTAAGGGATTTTAAAAAAAAAACTGAAGATCAAAAATCCCTTAACCTCAGTCACATAGAGAGAGTTCTTCTTGGCATTTAAGCAATTGATGGTATACCATGGTGCACTGCTTGGGGTGTGAGAAGAACAACTGTTTCTGCTTAGCTATTTGAGACCTCAAGGGTTTGTTTTTTTGGGTTTGTTTTTTTGCAAATCTTTATTCTTGACACAAATGAATCCACTGAGGACAATCCCGTGGTCTCCGTGCACAATGCAATTAAAATGCTTGCTTTTTTGTGTTTTTCTGGCCATATCCATAATCTCTCATGAATTTCAATAGCTAGCAAAATGCCTCATTGGATCAGCAAGAATAGATGTCATTTGGGTTCAATTCTCTATGGAATCTAGTACCTCAGTAGTTTAAATTAAAGCAAATATTTTATAGAGCTTTTTAGATTTTTCTTATTTTAGAAGAGAAAAGAGTTTGATAATAAACATAGTGAACTAAGGGCTGGCAAAATTTATTGTGGGATGTCTACTGGAAAGTGTCCTAGAATTTTTCAGATATTCAGCTTAATGGGCACCAGCATGCAGTATACACCCTCTTGGTTACGAAGCAAGCCCTTGTAGCCCATTGTCATTATGAACTAAGAGCAAATTTGTAAGGCTTAAAAATGACAGCAACTAAATAAGAGTTGCATCTCCAAGACATTTGGCCATTTGTCATGTGCATTGTTACAAACATACTATTGGATCCATTCCTGATAGATCTGCATTAGAAGCCAAATAAAGAAACTTGGAGATGCCATAGATACAGAATCAGAACAGAATGTTCAGTTCCACAATTTGCTTTTTTCTCCACGTGTTACACACGTGACTCCCATTAATGGTGATCAAGGATAATATAGTTGCGTGTTTAAGAGAAAAGAAATCCTTCCAGATTTCTTTTAAATGTTGCAAAGTTGGGTTATGTAGAGGACGCCATTGCTATAGGGCCATGGTGGCGAACCTATGGCATGTGTGCCACAGGTGGCATGCAGAGCCCTCTCTGTGGACACACACGCCGTCACCCCAGTCCTAGGCCTTCAGCTGGATTTTATAAAACCTTTTCGCTTTAGGCCTCCGCTACCGTGTGGGAAAAAAAGGTTCAATCAATCAATTTCAACTTCTCACGGGAAAAAAAAAGATCTCGCAAAGTTGGAATTGATTGATTGAACTTTGCCATTACTACCACAGCCATGCCCACTCAATGCGCCACACCCACCCAATTGGCCACGCCCACCCGACACCCGACGATACATAAGTGGGTTTTGGGTTACAGTTTGGGCACTCAGTCTCTAAAAGGTTCGCCATCACTGGAATTCAGTCTTTGTGAAATGAGAAACTTATTTAGAAATGTTTGACTTGGGCTACTATATGGTTTTCTTTTATTAGTTAGTTTGCCTTTTCTGTTACTCTGGTGCCACTCATTTGCTTTCCAAGACTGTGGAAAGCAGCACAGGAAATGGAAGATTGTATATATGTGTGTATAAAATATATATTAAGATATAAATATTAATCATGGTTTTGGTAAACTGGTGACAGTTAAAACCTAGGTAGATGTCACGTGCCTGTCTTCTGCAATCAGATCAGAATCTGTGGGCTTCATCTCTCAGCAGTGACTGAGGGAATTCTGGGTTTTGAAATCCACATTTCTGAATGGTCTCTTGACTGGGAGAAAACTGTTTTATGCAAACTATTTTGGGAGTAAAATAAGTTTGCCTCTGTATTCTTTCAGTGCCTTGGATTTACATGTCTCCAACTTATTCTTACTTATTTAGTCTTTGGGATAACCGTATCTATTTTACCATTACCTCAAGGGTGAAATCAAATTCTTTACAGAAAACGCCAATACTTGTTATTTGGCAATAATTGGACAGCACCTGGTAACTTTCGTTGCGTGCGTTTTTCGAGATTATTTCACCAAAGACGGTTAATGAGATAGATGGGATTTTCCTTCCTCTTCTTCATGTTCTCATTCAGATTTGGTCAGTTTAACTGGATTTCTTACTAGGTTACAGATTCACCTTAAGAATTTCTGATGTGTATAAAATTTTCTTTACTTTTTTTTTTTTTTTTTTTGGCAGATAAATCCTCCCACTTGAATCCTTCTGAAGGATCATTATGTAAGTATATATAGTTCAACTTTTTTTTAAAGAACTACATCTAGGAAATGAACAGAACAGAACAGAATAATCACAGGATTGGAAGGTCCTGGAGGTCTTCTGGTTCAATCACCTATCCAAGGCAGGAATCCTTATAGCAGGGGTAGACAACCGTGGCTCTTTTATGACTCGTGGACTTCAACTCCCAGAATTCCTGAGCCAGCATGGCTAGATCAGGAATTCTGGGAGTTGAAGTCCATGAGTCTTTAAAAAGCCAAGGTTGCCTACCCCTGCCTTATACCATCCAGGACAAATGATTGTCTTTTCTTGAAAACCTCCAGTGATGTAGCACCCACAACTCCAGGAGGCAAGCTGTTCCACTGATTTATCGTTCTCTCTGTAAGGATCTCTCCTTGATGGGTTTCCACCCATTGCTTCTTGTCCTGCCCTCAGGTGCTTTGTAGAATAAGTTCACCCTCTCTTCTCTGTGAGAGCCCCTCAGGTAGCTATTATGTCACCCTTAAGCCCTCTCTTCATTAGGTAGCCATACCTGGGTCCCTTAGCCAGCAAGGCTGGCTCAGGAATTCTGAAGTCCACAAGTCATAAAAGAGTCAAGGTTGCTTACCCCTGCCTTAGCCCCTTAGCCGTTCACCATACGATTTAGCCTCTTTTATTATCTTTGTTGCTCTTCTCTTCACTCTTTCATTCTCAGCTGAACTGAGAATGGTTTTAAACCTTTTGAATGTATGAGTTATACAGAGAAACGGGTTTTTTTTAGGAGAAAGCCCATGTGTACATCTATACGTATGTTTATATAGTATATTTTAAATGTGTGTTATGTATGTGTACACTTGAGAGCAAGCAACTAAGTTTCATTTTTAACATGTGTCGTTGTGCCCCCAGGGAAAAAATGACAATAAAGGTTATCTAATCTATTTAATCTAATCTAATCTAATCTAATGTGAGGAAACTGCCAAAGAGTCACTAGGCCCTCAGGTTCAAATTCCTATTTGACCCTGGAATACATCCGAGTCTCAGGATATTTGCTCTGGAAAGGGGGCTTAAGACAAGAATTCTCCATCTTGGGCCGTAGAAGTAAATATACATAAAATTACCCATAAAATAAAATAAATAATATTTAAATTAATAAAACTATGTTGATTGGTGAATAGGGTTCACCCAGTGGTGGGATTCAAATAGGTGAACAACTGGTTCTCTGTGTGGATGCCGCTTCTGGAAGTCCATTCTGGGCCTGGGCAACAAAAAAAAGTAGTGTGAACCGACCGAATCCCACCACTGGGTTCACCAATCACTAGATCCATGGCCTCCATTTTTGCTTGCTACTTTGCCTGAGCAAGCCCTCTATACTTTTTTTAAAAAATCAAATAAGGCATGCACAGGCCATGTAGAAATGAAATTGTATGACATCCAAATAAATAAATAAATAAATAGTACAACTTACAACCATTCATTTAGCACCCATTCGAAGTTACAATGGCACTGAAAAAATTGACTTACGACTGGTCCTTGCACTTACGACCGTCACAGCTTTCCCACAGACACATGATCGAAATTTTGAGTGCTTAGCAACTGGCAATTATTTAGACGGTTGCAGGGTCCCAGGATGATGTTATCATGATTTGCAATCTTCTCAGTTGGTTTCAGACAAGCAAAGTCAATGGGGGAATCTGGATTCACTTAACAATCATGGTGATTTGCCTAACAGCCATGGCAAAAAGTTCATAAAATCAGCTGCAGGATTCACTTAACAACGGCCTAGCTTAGCAATGGAAATTCTGGTCCCAGTTGTGGTTATAAGTCAAGGACTACCTGTATACATAATACTGTGGTGTTGAAGAAGGTGGTGTCATTGTCAGCAGTCAGCTGAGGGAGTAGAGTAGAGTAGAGTAGAGTAGAATAGAATAGAATAGAATAGAATAGAATAGAATAGAATAGAATAGAATAGAATAGAATAGAATAGAATAGAATAGAATTTTGTCAGTTTAAATGTACAATAATAGGCATACATTAAAATGAAATTTTGTTGCATTCAACTGTCAAAAAATATCATTATACATATACCCACATACACACATATATATGACACAGAGAAACATTACAGTCTAGGTCAAATGGCAAAAAAAAAAGAATCCTGGGAATTTAAAAAAGAATCCTGCAAATTTAGAGGGAGGGTAGGAGGGAGGGAGGGAGAGAGAGAAAGAGAGGGAGAGGGGAGAGGGAGAGCACTCCGATTTAAGATGGCCTTCCAGTGAAATTAGTGCCAAAAGAAAGTGTCCTTATTGTCTTGATAAGCTGGAGCCGAACCTCAGTAAGAATTAATGAGGCTCTACCCTGTAGCTATCCTTGCATAAAAAGAGTGAAAGTTCTGAAGGGCTGGAAGTGACTACCGTTGCTCAGCACATGTTCAAAGCCAGGCTTTCAGGAACCAGATGTACACTCACGCAGATTATCCTGCCTCTCCCAGAGCGGGCTCCATATTACAGCCTGGAACCGATTTCCGTAATTAAAACTGCTGCCAAACGTGAAAAACAATTGTTTCTATTTATGTATTTGCTGACTTTCAAGCTGGCACTCCCGCTTGGTTGACAGCTTTTCCGCTCCCCACTTAATATGCTGAAGACATTGGGGAGACGGAACAGAATTGGCAGAGGTCTTATTTAATTATTTGAATGAGTTTATCCTGCCTTACCTCAAAGGCACAAGCGTGACCTGAAAACTAAGGAGGCTAAAATTAGAGAAGTAAGTTATTTTGGTCTTTCCAACTTAAAAACAAGCAGAAATCAGCGGGAAACCTACCAGGCTGAAGTTGTTCATAACAGAGCTACATTTTAAAATTGTATCCTGCTTCTCTGCTTTGTTCTTGTGAAACAACAGGCCACGCTAACCAAAGATGTATTAAATAGTGTTGTTTAGACTTTCCTTTGGATTGACATGATCCCAAATCTCCATACCAGCTTTTTTCAACCCAGCTTTCTCTTGTTGTATGGACAGCAGTTTGCCGGAATTAGCATGAAGCTTGAACATCTACAGGAAGTTCTCAAATTACAACCACAGCTGAACCCAAAATTTCTGTTGCTAAGCAAGACAGTGGTTAAGTGAGCTTTGCCCCATTGTACGACCCTTTCTGCCACGGATGTTAAGTGAATCCCTGCAGTTGTTAAGTTAATAATACAGCTGTTAAGTGACTCTGACTTCTCCATTGACTTTGCTTGTCAGAAGGTTCAAAAGACGATCACATGACCCTGGGACACTGCAGTCATCACAAATATGAGCCAGTTGATAAGGAATTTTGATTGTGTGACTAGGGCAGTGGTTCTCAACCTGTGGGTCGGGACCCCATTTGGGGTCGAACGACCATTTCACGGGGGTCGCCAAACAACGCAGTCCGCCATTTTTTTCCCCTTTTCCTTAACCGTGCTACTCCCTTTTATTCTATTGGCTTTTGAAAAGAGTCTAATTCTATTGGCTTTCAAAAGCCAATAGGAATTGTCCAGGCTGTCTCTGCCCTGCTGAGCCCGCCAAAAGTCCCATTCTGCAAACGGTGCTGCACCAGTTGAGTAGTCCTCGACTTATGACCGGTTGAGTAGTCCTCGACTTACGACCGGTTGGGGGTCGCGGCATTAAAAAGCTTGAGAACCACTGGACTAGGGGGATGCTTCAACGGTCGTAAGTGTGAAGAACACCCACGGTTCACTTTTTTTCAATGCTGTTGTAACTTCAGACAGTCACCAAACGAGTGGTTGCAAGCTGAGGATTACTTGTACTGTTCTGTTTCCTTCTCATTCTCCCCGATAGGTAGCAGAAAGCAAAGCTGACCTGGGCCAGAAAGAGAGGGAGGGACCAAATAAGCCTCTTTGGGGCCAAAAGAGCTTGAGGTACACTTGATGAGCCCAAAAAGGTGCCGAGTCCTGATTACAAAACGCACTTTAGGGAAAGAAAAATGCCATCGCTTTTGGTTTCTTTCTCTTTCTGAATGCAAGTAAAATATCTTTGTTTCTGCGTTACAAATGTGTTGATTTTTTCTCCCCCTCTCTCTCTAATCTCTGAATTTCACAGCTGTTGTACACGGCCTGGACACGTTGACAGTTGTGGGAATTGCCTTTGCAGCTTTTATGATAGGCGCGCTGCTAACAGGAGCTTTATGGTTTATCTATTCCCGCACAGGTGAGTCGGATGTTTTTCCACAAATTGCACAGTGTATCTGGAACACTGACCCTGTTCACTAGCCATTGCTTTGCCTTGAAAAATAAAAGCTCCTGACGGATTGGTATAGATGCCTCTCCTGAATAATAGTTTGCCATTAAAAGGATTTCTTTTTGAACAATAGAGTTTCAAGAGTGGAGAATATTTATATAACACATTAAATGACCATAGCATTGTTTTTTCAAACTTGGCCATTTTAAGATACGTGAACTGCAGCGAATACATTGAAAGGATAGAGAAAAATGTAGCTGTCGTAAGTAGGAGTGGAATTTTGTATCTTGCATCTGAATGGAAAATGGAAAAGCATTTAAATATGTTAATTGGCATTCATATCAACGTGTCTTAATAGAGACTGAGGCAACCATTCTGTAGCCATTTATCTGGGAATAAGGTTCGCTGAGTTTCCTGAGACTTTCTTTCAAAGAATCATAGATAGCTTCTTCGTTGCATTGTGAAGAATATAAGGATAGATCCATGTTGTGGTTGGGTATAAGTCAGTAGAGGAAACCCAAGTAACTAAACAAACATTACCGATCCACTAAAAAGAAGAAAGAGTATGTGTTCAGAAGATGATTTTGGCTTTCTTGAAAACAAAAGCAAGGTTTCTTGTTGTTAGTTGCGAAGTCAGGTCCAACCCATCGTGACCCCATGGACAACATTCGTCCAGGCCTTCCTGTCCTCTACCATCTTCTGGAGTCCATTTAAGCTCACGCCTACTGCTTCAGTGACTCTATCCAGCCACCTCATTCTCTGTCATCCCCTTCTTCTATTGCCCTCAATCTTTCTCAGCGTTAGGCCCTTCTCCAGTGAGTCCTTCCTTCTCATTAGGTGACCAAAGTACTTGAGTTTCAACTTCAGGATCTGGCTTTCTAAAGAGCAGTCAGGGTTGATCTCCTCTAGGACTGACCAGTTTGATCGCCTTGCAGTCCAGGGGACTCGCAGGAGTCTTCTCCAGCACCATAGTTCAAAGGCCTCAATTCCACGGAGCTCAGCCTTTCTTATGGTCCAACTTTCATAGCCATACATTACAATTGGGAAAACCATGGCCTTGACTATACATATTTTTGTTGGCACGGTGATGTCTGTGCTTTTTATTATGCTGTCTAGATTTGCCATAGTTTTCCTCCCCAGGAGCAAGCGTCTTTTAATTTCTTGGCTGCAGTCCCCATCTGTAGTGATCTTGGAGCCCAGGAAGATAAAATCTGTCCCTACCTCCATTTCTTCCCCATCTATTTGCCAGAAATTGAGAGGGCTGGATGCCATGATCTTGGTTTTAAAAGCAAGGTTAGATGTGATTAACCAAGGAATAGCTATACTAAGATTTTATCCATGATTACATATGGAAGTACAAAATTTCGGCTTTGACACATAAAATTGAATATGAGCCAATACAAAGAATTGTATGCAAATGTATAGAAATGTGTGGACAAGTTTCTTAGGAGTTGTAATTTCTTCCGATCACCATAAAGGAATGTTGCTTTATGATTGAAAACTGAGGCACACCATCAGTGACTGTATTGATGCTAACGTTTATGCAATTCATTGGATAAAAAGAGAGCACGTCCCAATGTTTCTCTCTTGTATCGCTCATTGGGATTTTAATTTGATGTGTGTAATTAATCTTTTTCCAATGCCGTTTTGGTGCTCTCCCATAATGTACACATTAGGGCTCTGCAGAGATACGGCTTCAAAGAGTATAAATGGGAGTATTTTTAAAAATGGTCTTTTCCTGAGCTCTTGTGGCTTACCTTTTGCAGATGAAGTGAGATTTTACGAAGAGATGTTTTACTCCGAGGCATTTTCCGCAGATGCAACACGCATGCCCAAACATGCTCCAGATCACATTTTGTATCTAGATTATTGTACCACCTTAATCCACTGCAGGAAGAAGAAATGGGGGGTACTCTATTGGGGGTGGGGTGGAGGAAATTGCTGGTCCTCTGTGGAAGACATGATTAGCAAGGAAAGTCTATATTTCCTAAAACCATACGGAGAAGAGCTTTGGTACAATAGAAAAAGAGGCACTTCAGTCAAGAATGTTGTTCTGTTGTGTTTGCATTACAATAAGAGAAGGAGAAGGTCCATTTAACACAGTTTTGGAACATCTGCCATAGATTAAAGAAGTGTGGAAGAAAACATCACCTTGCTTTCCTGTTTAAATGCCTCATTTATTTCTAAAGTATACGACTTGGCTTTGATGCCTCTGAATCCCGTTTCCTATCATTTATGAATCAGAGCTAGTTTGGAAAAAAGCAGTGTCCGGTTTTGAGCAATCAGATCTTGTCTCCTACTTAATTCTATCTTTCACACGTGGTGACTAAGCGAGAAAGTTGCCTCTATTAGCAACTTCAAATTCTGTCTAAATCAGAAACTACAACTAGTAGCTTCCAAACAAACCAGGATATGGAAAGCAGTTGTAAACTATAAGGCCACATTCTGTCTTACCTGAAGTTATTAGGCATGGTTTCCTGATGGAAAATTCTGATTAATTGTGACTTGTTCACTCAGGATTTGTGCATTTAAGTGAGAAGCAAATTGAAGGGAATGGGGCTGTGTGCGTATCTGCACCTTATATAGCTGGTTTCCTGGGATAATATTTGATCATTTGAATGTGTTTATGGCTTATCCGGCTGCAACTTTATGCTAGGAAGGGATTAAGCAATTTGGCAAAATTCCCTAAAGTCCTCCTTGCCTGGTTGATGAGGGGGGGACAGCATATAAGCCTTGTTTGAACAATTTGTTCAACAGTGACCTAGTACACTGGCTGAACTTTTATTAGTTTTCCAGTTCGTAGTTTGAACACAAGTAACTCTTTCAGATGTCAGACTTTTGCTCATGTCCAAGGAGCTCTCAACAAATAGGTACAGAAAACACGTTCCTTTGCAGATCCCCTCTTCCCACCCCCTTCCTTGTACGTGACGAGTCCATCCAGCGAATGCAAAGGGCCAAGAACGGTCTATTATTTATTAATCTGAACTCAAAGGAAAGCCGGTTTTCAAAACGTATGTAACTTTTCCTAGTTAAGCACCTCGGAAAATCTCTCCTTTCAAATAACAAGATTATGCAGCCTGCTCTCCCTTCTCCCCCCAATAATTTGGGGGGAAACTTAGAAGACTCCATTTAATAAGTTCTGACTGAAAAAAAGGAAGAGTTTGGCATGTGCGAACTTAGTGTACTGAGGCTAGAAAAAGCAAACAGACTGCCTTGAAAAGAAGCCACATTGGCAGGCTTCTTCAGTGTGAATAATAAAGAACATGCTGTTGCATTCAGATACATATGACTATAAGTGGCTTAAAAGATTGCTTATGGCCTATAGCTGGGATAGAGACATTTACAAAAACATCCACTTTAAATAGTGTTTGGAGAAACGGTGATAAGAACCCATTACAGGAACAATCTTCCTTTCCAGCCAGCTTTTGTCTTCAGAAATTTGCTACAGGGCCCCTTTTTATATATATATAAAGTTGGAAGGGACCTTGGAGGTCATCTAGTCCAACCCCCTGACAAACGGCTGTTCAGTCTCTTCTTAAAAACGTCCAGTGTTGGAGCATTCACCGCTTCTGGAGGCAGGTTGTTCCGCTGGTTAATTGTTCTAAATGTCAGGAAGTTTCTCCTTAGTTCTAGATTGCTTATCTCCTTGATTAGTTTCCACCTGTTGCTTCTTGTCCTGCCTTCAGGCGCTTTGGAGAATAGGTTGAGTCCCTCTTCTTTGTGGCAGCCCCTGAGATATTGGAATACTGCTATCATGTCCCTCCTCGTCTTTCTCTTCATTAAACTAGACCAATGTTTCTCAATCTTGGCAACTTTACAATGTGTGGACTTCAACTCCCAAAATTCTCCAGCTAGCATTGCTAGCTGGAGAATTCTGGGAGCTGAAGTCCAAACATCGTAAAGTTGCCAAGATTGAGAAACATTGAACTAGACATACCCAATTCCAGCAACCGTTCCTTATATGCTTTAGCCTCCAGTCCCCTAATCATCTTTGTTGCTCTTTACTCCTAGGAATAGTTGCTTGCAAAAATCCTCTTGAATAAGTCTGAAGGTTCATTGTTTGTCACAACGCATAAACTGACATACAGGTAGTCCTCGACTTACGACCACAGTTGAGCCCAAAATTTCTGTTGCTAAGCTGAAACATTGGTTAAATGAATTTTGTCCCGCTTTACGACATTTCTTGCCACAGCTGTTAAGTGAATCACTGCAGTTGCTAAGTTTGCAATGTGGTTGTGAAGTGAATCTGGCTTTCCCTATTGACTTTGTGTGTAAGAAGGTCGCAAAAGGGGATCACGTGACCCTGGGACACGGCAACTGTCATAAATATGAGTCAGTTGCCAAGCCTTTTGGGGGATGCTGCAATGGTCGTAAGTGTGAAAAACGGTCGAGAGTTACTTTTTTCAGTGCCGTTGCAACTTTGAACAGTCACTAAATGAACTGTTGTAAGTTGAGGACTACCCGTATTTCATCTGCTTTCTTTTCATTTTTAAAGACTCCCAAACTCCCGATGGCACGTTGTACGATGGAATCAGGAAGGGGTGGAATTTGGGCTGTCACTCACCCAATCAACTGCAGCACTCAATTTTCCATGCAGTAGTGGCTAGTCAAATATATTCTTAGGCTTTAAGGTACTACCTGTGTTTTAAGAGTGACAGGTGAGCAATTGGAAAATACAGGGCTGCTGAACAGAAAAATCAAGGATTTATTTTCTATAAAAGGGGGAGATGCTGGAGGAAAGATTGAAATTCCAGCAGAGGTCTGTGCCACTGAGACAAGGGGACATAACCCCATAGTTGAAAGAGGGGGAAAAATGCATCTGTGGAAAGTTTTCTAGAAAGAGGAAATAGGGGGAGGGGGAAAAACATGAGACGGGGTATTTTTTGTTTTTGCCATCCAGATATTGACAGCTGTATGTGCCCTTTTCCCCAAAGACGAAAAGGTATTCACGGACACTGAGTTGGAGCAAAATATATACAGATTGCAGCTGATAAGCTGAGGTTGGTGCACAAGGCTGTGTAATAAGGTGGTTTGTAGCCTGGGTGACAACATCGCTGTAACAGGACCCAGCAGCAGGGGATGCGGCCAGTTCTACATTTTGCAGATCGTTTTCCTGGCAGAAAGCTTGAGAGGCCCCATTAAGGGAATGAAAGCTACGGACTTGAATCTATAGAAATTGTGGCTTTTCTCTCCTAAACGTTCTCAGGTTTTATTTTGGTTTTAGCTAAGAAAGCTTTACAAAGAAAAAAGAAAAAAATCTCGGGGGGGGGAAGGATTTCTCTTACCTAGAGATAGCGTTCACAATGTCAGGAAAGGCTTTGGGATCAAAGAAAGAATATCTAAAAGTAACCTCACAAATGAGACGCTTGAACTGAACCCAGGATGAAGTCCAAAGTTTGTTTTGGTTACACTGGAAAAAAAAATCAGCCTTAATTCTACTTCCTGTTGCCAAAAACGTATCACCCGCCCCCCCAAATATTTCCCCAAATAATAACAGAGAGAGTTATTGGTGGATTTTTCTCTTTAAACAGTGCAGGAAGGAAGAAAGCAGAGAAGGGGGCAAAAGGCTGCACTTGGTCCCAGGACCTACAGAATTGAATGCCTTTTAGATTGCACATCCCACTGAATGAGGGGACTGCCCACTTTGGGGCAGTCAATTACATTCACTAGAAAATCCCTGGGGAAATAAAAAGGGGGAAATTTAGTCGGTCAATGTTTGGCTGCTTGGAGCAAGGGGAAAGATACTTTGCTGAATGGACTGTGATATATATAGAAGAAATCTTTTGCCTATATCAGCCCCAATCTAGGGCTATCCCCAGGCAGCAGTCGCTACTGCGACAATCATTTTTATGTTAAATTTGGATTGCTAACAAAGAGTTAAAGGGAGATTACTATAGCTGTTTCGAGCTACTTAGCTCTCATCAGCCAGCCATACCCTTCTGAGATTCGAACCTGGGCTTCTTGCACGTTAGGCAGCTGTGTTGACCTCTAGGCAACAGGCTCTTTCCCACTTTGTCAACTGTATCTGGGAGGGGAGAGACCCGTGGGGGAGATATGTGTTAAGTGTTTTTTTTATGATACACCCGCAGCCCCAATCTAGGAGTGTTGCAGGCTCAAGTCGCTACTGCGATAAACCATTTCTGTAAACCATTTATTTGTCAGCAAAATCTAAATTTATAGATTTGTACAATTTATAGATATGTACATGTATGTGTCTGTGCATATATATGTGTATATATATAATGCGCACATGTATGTATATGTATGTTTGTATGTATATCCTTTTGAGAGTGGCTATCAGAATTTCATTTTTAATCTGTGCCAGTGTGTTCACAGAAAAAAAGTGACAATAAAGGTTATTTTAGCTTATCATTTTATCTTATCTTACAACTTATCTCATCCCATCCCACTTCATCTCATCTTATCTCATCTTAAATAATAGAGAATTGAAGACCCTCCTTCCCTCCCCTCCCCTCCCCGGGATGGCCAGGAGAATGTGAGGACAGTAGAAGTAATAACTCTGACCTTGCTTTGTGTTTATTTCTTCCTCTCCTCCAGGAGAACCAGAAGGAAGACAGCCAGTTCCCACTTCGCCACCACCTTCTGAAAACAGCAGTGCAGGCCACAGCATTGGCAGCACACAAAGCACCCCCTGTTCCAGCAGCAGCAGGGCCTAACACAGGAGGGAGCATGGAAATGCATGCAGCAACATCGGAGATCAGAGGTTCAAAAAACAACAACAACAACCCAGCTGTTTGTTGCCTTTTGCTTCCATTGGTTTGGATTCTTTGGCAAAAATGAGAAGGCGCTTCCTTCTTTTTCGGCTTTTTCCAGATAAACATGGTCCTCGAACCTCCCGCCGCATGCTAAGGCTACACATGATGGAGCTACTCTTTTTGTGCAGCTGTGGACTGTCCACACGTTCTCAATGTGAAACACAATGTCCCCCACCCCCTGTAAATGCTGCTTTGTCTCCAGAGAATCCCAGGGCTGAGTTTTGCAAACGTGCAGGAGACGCCAAGGGATTTCAGTCTCATAAGCTGGGGAAGGGGTTTGGGTTTTTTTTTTCTTAACCTCCCTCCCTCCCTCACCCCACCCCACCCCACCCCACTGAGCACAAAGGCAGGGTGGTTTCAAATGCCACATTTGAAACTGATTTCCTCTGATACGCATGGCAGGTCACCGTAGCTGTGTCACTGTGTAATTGTTGAGCTTGACTTCGGGAAGCCTTTTGGCCCTGGTTGTGCTGTTCTCCATCTAAGGGGATTTATATCCACTGAAGCTTTTGAAATGAAAGCAGCATACAGGGGCTAAAAATACATGTTGGTTAGGTATTTGTAATTACTTATCCTTCCTTCTCATATATCCAAAAAGCTTGCTTGAATACTTAGGGTAGTTTTCAGGGTTGCTCCATTTCCCCTCCTCCCTTACTGGGAACTACCTTTTTTTTTTTTTTCAGGATGGAGCAGCTAAGTCTCACCCTTGTAAGCTAAGATTTCTCTACAAGATACTCTTTGTATACTGCATGCTCTTCACCTGCTCTTTGTCTTGTGGCAATTTGCATTAAGCCATCAAGTAATCCTGTCTCACAGCATTGCTTCGTGAAAGGCAGGGGTCCCCAAGCCCTGGTACCAGTCCGCGACCTGTTAGGAACTGGGCTGTACAGCTGGAGATGAGTGAGCAAAGTTTCATCTGTATTTGCAGCCGCTCCTCAGTACTACGGCATCATGGCCTCAACTCCACCTCAGATCATCAGGCATTAGATTCTCATAGGAGCGCAAAACCCTTCTCTAAACTGCGCATGTGCAGGATCTAGGTTGCAAGCTCCTCCCCCAGCCCCGGTCCATGGAAAGATTGTTTTCCACGAAGCTGGTCCCTGGTGCCAAAAAGGTTGGAGACCATTGATGTAACACAGGGATCTTGAAACTTGGCCCTTTTATGACTTGTGGACTTCATCTCCAATTCTGGGAGTTGAAGTCCACAAGTCATAAAAGGGCCAAGTTTCAAGACCCCTGATGTAACGTGTGCTTGCAGATGTAACAGCCTCCCTACTCACTGCTGTGTTAGACGTTGCTTCGTAGATGCATTTCCACTGAGTGAATTTGCAGGATTGTCTCTGACAATTGACAAAATAGGAAAATCTTGCTTTTCCTGTAAAGGCCATGCCCAGTGATACATTCATGATGCTATATTCTGGAAAGGGATGGGTGGGTTGTATTACGATTGCACTTGGAAGTTCAGGATGGGGTTTCTTCATTGGCCAATTTTGAACTTAGACATGCCTAAATATGCTTCACCAAAGGAAGAAAGACTACGAAAACTAAAATGGTTCCCTGATACATTTTTAAAGATATTTTTACATTATTTTCAGAGTCATTTATTGTAAGGCATTCATTTTGATTGGATTCGTGACCTTACGTATCTGGAGATGTTTGTAGAATACATATGGCAATGCTTAACATGACCCATTAAGTATATATTGCTGACTTTTAAAAGTATAAACTAATATTCAGATTCAGTTCTGTGCTCCATGAGAATGCTCTGCTTTAAAAATAGTTAGGGTTTTTTTTCCCCTTTGGGTTATTGAAAAACACTAGGGTCAAGTATTGTGGATCCAGTTTTCTATCATGTTACTTTTTTTCCATTTGTTTATTGCTCAGTGGAGACAACTATTGAATCATGCTATTGTTTATGACATGTAGCATGGATAGCAATGAGATGCCTCCTGTAAAAAAGCTTTCTTATGTTTTGATTCCAACTCATCTCAGTTTCACATTTGGAAATATATCAAAGTAACGCTTGAAGTGGCATGAAATTGTAAAAATATTATGTTATCATTTTGAGAACTGAAAACAAAATAAGCACAGTTGTTCCTTTGCAGATATCATAAGTATTATTCTGATAACTTCAGATGTTAGTATTTTTTTCATATTTCTGGATCTGACTGTTTACTATAGCAACTTACTGGTCAGTTGCAAGGGAATCAGAAATTGTGCCCATTTAAGCTTAGATGACATACATTCCGTTTGTATAGTCATATTGGTAGATAATTGGAACCAAGATGAATATGCCACATAAAGATTATCTTAACTGAGATATTTAAATATGTGTCGAACAGTCCTATAAACTCCTCCCCCTTCAACACAAACTGTTAAGATTATTGATTTTCTATATTGATTCATTGTTATCATTATTATCACTGCCTGCACCAAAAGCTTTAAAAATTTAAAAAATATTGTGCAGTAGTGATAATCCCATCTAAAATTTTATGAGATTTCGGACAAGGAAACGAAAATCTTGTGAGATTAGCTGATTTCCTGAGATTTTGGCCATTCCAAAATATAGGTATTTCTCGCTTAACAGCCACCATTGGGACTCCTTTGCTAGGTGCTACAGTCATTAAGTGAGACATCATGTGACCACAATTTACGATTTTACTTCCCCTTCTCTACTTAACTGTTGCAAGCCAGTTGTGAAGAATGCAAATGGCAAATATATGACTGCAGGACACTGCAACAGTTGTAAAGGCACACTGTTTGCAAAACACCTGAATGGTGATCATGTTATAAATACAAGGATTGGTTACATATCAGTTTTTTAACACTGTTGTAACTTTGAATGGTTGTTAAATGAGGCCATCAGTAAGGGAGGACTACCTGCTTCCAATCTTAGTTTGTTGTTTGTTTCATGTCCCCCCCTAGAGACGGGGCAGGAGCTATACACCATGTTTTCCCCAAAATAAGACCCGGTCTTATTTTTTTTCCCCTCCAAAAGAGGCACCAGGGCTTATTTTCGCAAAGGGGGGAAATCTTTTCCACTCACCTCGCAGCCGCAGCAGCATCGACAGCCTCGCCCAGCCGGTCCACTTCTTCTGCGGCCGAAGGAGCAGCTTCATTCTGCAGCTGAGAATGAAGCTCTGGCCTGCATTTTGCAGTCAGAAGCTTTTCCAGAAGGCCTCTGCAGCTGAGAACTGATCTACGGATTGAATTCATAGCTCGGTTCTCGGCTGCACAGGCCTTCCGGAAATGCCTCTAACTGCGAAATGCAGGGCCGAGCTCCATTCTCAGCTGCAGAACGAAGCTGCTCCTTCGGCCGCAGAAGAAGTGGGCTGGCGAAGCAAGTGTCGATCCACGGGAGGCCTGGCTGCAATGGTAAGCTCCACCCCCGCCCTAGCTTGATTTTCAGGTGTGCGCCTCGCCCCAAAACTAGGGCTTATTTTGGGGGGTGGGGTTTATATTAGGCCCACCCCCAAAAATCAAGCTAGGGCTTATTTTCAGGGTAGGTCTTACTTTCGGGAAAACACGGGTAGATTAGTAACGGTCTCTGTTTGGAAAGGATTCCTTAGCTAATTTGGGTGAAACTGTGGAAGGATTTCAGAGGAGGTCAAGAATGCCTAAATGCACAATAGCTGGCTGGCTTTTGCTCACAGTAGAGTCCAAAGAAAGCTGGGGTTTACACCCCCACCTCTCCATTCCGTTAAAATTACTTCTGTGAAACAAAAGAATTGCAAGCTGACTCCAAAAAGTCCAATTAGAAGCAGTCAGTTCTGATCCCATTTTTTTTAATAGCAGCTCAAAAACAGATTAAGGAGGTGTATCAAGCTCAGAGAGCACCAAGGACCCCACAGTTCAACTCTGAGCTACAAATAGTCTCTTCCATCAGAAGTAAGCATAGCTTCTCGCCCCCCTAGAGTAGAACGTTCTCACCTAATGGATGGTCAACATTTTCATTATCAATTTTACTTAACATTCAGCTCCAGGAGCATATTCCAAAGTTGGTACCCAGTAGAAGACCACTTTTTGGGTTGCATTTCATGCAACCTCGTATTTAGCTTCCTGCATAGGTAAGATACAAATGGTGGTACAAAGTGTAGAGCCTATTTTGTTTTTTTTAAAAAAAATACTCAGGACTACTACTCATAATTGAAATCCAAGATGGAATTTTTTTAAAAGACAGATTAAAATGAATCTAAAATAAAATTCTGGTGCAGAAGTGATCAAATTGGGGGATTTTGGCAGATTTGGAATGTATTTAAAAGAAACCAGACAAAACAATTGCTTAAGTGTTTGCAGGACTGGATTGGTGGGAGGGTTACAGGCAGCCAGGATGCTACCTGTGTATTTAAAAAGAATGCTCTTTGCCTAACCTTCAGCTGAATGTATTATGCAATCATATTCTGTGTATGAAAACCTTTAAAATGTCTTCAGAGAAGACTAGAGTCTTTAAATCAATCATAGCTCTATTATATTAAATGTGAGCATAAAATATAAGTATATATTAAAAATACATATATTTAAATCTAAATGGCTTTATATAAGATGGGTAAGTTTGGTTACTGTGAATTGTGTGGCTTTGTCTAAGAGTTATTTCCCCTGTTTTTGATTCTTTAGATTAAAAAAAAAAAAGTAGAAGTATAGAATTATTATAAATTTGATTCCTGGAGTAAAAGGTTAAACATTTTGTGTAAAATGCTTAAGTGTGTGTGTTTTTTCCCCGAAAGATGCTGCATTATGAATATTTCTATTGAAAACTACTCTGAAAAGTAGCTTTATAGTTCCTGATATACAAATTAATTCCATTTTTACAAGTAGAGAAGTTACATTTTCCTGGACCTATATAAAAAATTAAAATAGAATAAACAGAGCAACCTTGCTGCACTTAAACATACTACAGAAAGCTCAGTTTTATTATATATTGACTTTATTGTTTGCCCTCTGTTAACAATAGAAAATTCTTATATTGTTGATTGGACAGTGAAGCTCCTTTCTCAATCTTCACTCCTTCAGATGTGCTTGAATGTCTCCTAGCATATTGAACCAGTCTGGGTGTGTTGACTGGGAACTCTGGGAGTTGTAGTTCCACCTGGAGAGAATCAATTGGAGGAGGGCTGTAATAGACGATTTAGTACGGTGAATTGTATATTTCAATTGAATTATAGAAGTCCTGATAGTAGTAATATTGAAGAAGGGAGCAACTACTATTATAAACCAGACACCAAATAAGAAAGAATGTTTTTAGCAGATAACTGTACCACAAGCAAGAGATTTTTTTCACACTCATTGAAGTCTGTTTTTTTTCTACAGATATAAGCTTTGCATTATCATGCCATTATTTACTCAAAGTTTGTTTTTTTTATGATGTGGTTCTTGTATACTATTTAATGTTGCATAGTAGTGCTACTTGTGAATATATTTTGCCACACTAACACGTTTTTAAAACTTGGTTTTAAATATCTATGGTATGGCATTTTGCAGGGATTTTGTCAGAACTATTGTGAATAATCAGCTATAATCCTTGTAATATGTGTTTGGAGACTGCTTTTGGCAGAGACCAAATTGATCCTTTTTAACAAGCCTCCCTCACTGATTTCAATTTTTTAAATTTGATTAATATGTATACCAATTTGCCAGTATCATGGCTAGGCTAAACACACAACACACACACACACACGAATATACTATATATCTGTTCTTAAAAATAAATACAATATTTTAGGTTTCTTTTTTAAAAAAATTGTTATAACCTATTTCCTAGCCCAACCTTGTGTTAATTCAAAATTTGTCAGTTAGCTTGAAAATATTATCCTTATTCACAATTGGACAAAATTCTTCTGGTGCCTCCAATAAAAGTATCATTCCGAGCGACCTCTGTCCTGAAGAGTGAAGGCAAAAAATCACTCCTTATCTTTTTTTAAAAAAACTTAAGTATCATATTTCCTATATTGCGGGCTTTCTGATCCAGATATACTTATAAATATTTGCTTGCCTTATCATCCAATCGTATTTTTATAAAGCTTGCCAATAGTGGAACTACTAAAATAAGATAAGACGAAAAAGGACTGTGCGTTGTAAACTTTATTTTGGCAAACGTATAAACTTCACTCTGTTTTGCTTGTTTTGTTGATATACCTGTCTAATCAAAGCTCTCGCCTGTTCAAATATTTTCACATTGGGCAGCTGTTAAGCTGACTGTCGCCATGCCATGCATTGTGTAGAACTGTCACTGCAGTCTGCAGATTTTATTTTATTTTATTTTTTTCAAAAGAAGGTTGTATGTTCTCCCTATCCACCCCTTAATGGTCTCTGTCTGTATGTGTGTGTCCTTGTCTTTTCTATGATGTAGATCTACCTCAGGCTTCAAAAGAAAACTCTTGCTGATTGTAAGTGCAATCCAGTGGGCCCTGCTGCTGCTGAATGCCTCCTCCCATTTCAAAGGGGCCTTGGGGGTCCCAGCCTGCCAAGCTCATTAGAATAAACGGACGATAAACAGCGGTGGGCCCAGGCTGCTTTGCACCTTGTGTGAGGAGAGTATTTTTAATGAGGCAATTGTTCTGTTTTGTTTGTCCAAACTGGGGTGCTCATGAAGTGACTGATTCACGGTTTAGAGTCGACCATTTCCAAACGCAAATACTTTAACCTTTAAAAAAAAATGGAAAAGGAAAAAAAAACCTGGGTTTTTTTTTTAAGCCAATGAGTCTGGAAAATATGCCTTTTTATAATCCCTGTGGCCAGTCTGACATCCCATTTGTGTATGTGCCTGGTTCATTCCCCACTCCAGGAAAAACAAAAACAAAACACTCCTTTGTGCATTTGATAAGTTGTACAGTTTTGATAAAACCCGTGTAATGTTCCTTGTGTTCTCTGTGCTTAATAAAGATATCTCAATTATTAATAAAACCGAGTGCTTCTTTTACTAAGTATAGGCTTACATTTCGTACAAGGGGATTATCAAACAACACAGTTTCTTCAAACTTAATAGGGACTTGAAATATTACATAAAAGAACAACAGTCTGAGAACCACAGTAGTCCAGATAAGAACTTTATTGTAAGGTTACATTAACAGAATCATGCAAGTCTAAAACAACCGTATATTTCTCAACTCTCACCTTTACAATCCAAGACATTAAGGAGGGTCCCTCCTGAGATGTTTGCCACCACCCCTTCCTTCTGCAGACTCAGCTACAACTTGTCGGACAGTTGTTTAATCTGTGGTGCTTTATCCTGTATCCCAAAGTCATTCCCACATACCATTACCTCACCCTTCTTGGAAACGGCACAATTTCCCATAGAGTTGAGCACCTCCTTCTGTGTATCGCTCTTCATTAGTCTCTCCTTGACTTCTTCCACTGCTTAAAACAGCTCGAAGTTCTCACCTGCTTGAAGGCATCTCTCTAATATCCCTGACAGTGTTCCTCTATTCTTAACCATTGGGTTTGGATTTAATCAGGACATTGATATTTCTATGGTTGTAGATATGGCCATAACACATTAACTTTGAAGTAAGCCCTTGCCAATGATTTCAAATGTCAGATGAAAGATGTTCTCCACCTGTTATCTCCAGGATACCTCAAATATGAGTTTTCCAACCCTCGTAAAGTGCAGAAGAAGAATCTCATTACAAGGCAGAATCCAGCTGGAAGGCAAATACAACGGAGTACAGCTTGTTTTTAAGAAAAATGGTTTATAACTATCGAGTTGGACAGCTGAGCTGTGACCTTTTTTTGCAATGGAATATACTAACATCTTAGAATATTACTCAGAAAACCCAACATATTGTGCTTGTGCTTGCCAGTCGCTTGTGAATAAATTATAATTTTGATAATCGAAATGATTACTGAGTGTCAGCTGCAAGAAGAATACAGTCCAGAGCCTTTCCTTACTCTAAACAAAGTTTAAATATATAGCTCTGTGAGCTAGAGGAAGGCACCATATGAGGCCATGTTCAGATAAAGGTCTATTATAAGTCATCTTGTAATTGCAAGGCCAAAATTTATGAGGGCTGAAGTCTGCTTGCTGCCTTTGTTTTTGTTCTTTATTCCCACTGTCATAACTTTAGACCAGACCTTCTGCACTTAAGTGCATTTACATGGATTGGATTGCTCAGACACATATAAAAGTCAAATGACATCACCCATCTCCTAAAAGGGCCAGAGCTTAAATTA